AGCGCAATATAACACTTAATATACATGCATAATCAGATAGTCATCATCATCAAAATTTGAAATACAATACAACAAAACTACTGTACAACAACACATTCCATATATCAAAATAACATTTAAAATTACATACATGTATCACACCATGTACCAAATTAGAGTCAGTAAATGACACCATAACTCACTTGTTTGAATGCATATAGATCAGGATATAACTTCTCATAGCAACACACTGTTGACAGTTGCTAAAAGTTTGAATAATACTATTATTTTCTTCTTATTTTCATACCATCTTGAGAGACTCATTATCTGCAAGAAGTTTATTCCTGTGCTCTTAGAAATGAAGTTATCTCAGTTCTGTAGGTATTTAGATGTATCAGTTGTGCACACCATGGGTCCTAGCCTTATTCCCTGTGTTCCAAGTTAATTTTCTGTTATGAACTTTATAAATATGTTATACCACACACAAAACTTATTCCTCATTTTTGCCTTACTGAACCTATTTTGCAAAGATCACTAGTGAAGTATGTTAGGCATGCTGTAGAAGAAGCAATATTTGGTTATTAACTGAAACCATGATCTAAAAATGAGCTCAGATAAAATGTTTCTAACCATAATTTAGTGTGAGAAAGGCTACCAATTTTTATACCAAGAGGCTACCCAATTTCTAACCTGCAGATCTTATCATTATGTTCTGTGGTCATATTCATGAAGTTGGGTGTTCTACTAGGAGCCCACCCACCCACAGTGGCTTTTAGGTAATTAAATTAAAGTTCAAATTATATTTAAAATAAACTGATGATGAAATGTATTATCTTACAGAATGGAGTCAGGTCATATGGATGAGGTGAAACCATTTGATTGGACATTTACAACAGATTATTCAGGTACTATCACTGGAAACTTTGCCATAACACCAACAGACACCAGGATAGATCTGGACAAACTGCGTCGAAGAGATAAGATCCTGTTCTACCATGATCTGTCACTGTTTGAAGACGAGCTGCATGATAACGGTACAGCTGTGTGCTCTGTTAAGATTGTGAGTAACAGATATGTAATTGAATTGTATATGCAGGACAAGAAAAGAAAATAATTTGTACATACCTGAGAGAGTTTCACAGTGTTTCACATTGGATGGTATGCAGAAACTAACCCCCACCCCAGGACAGTTTATTCTTGGATATGTGTGTGGGAACATTTCCATAAACATAATAGAAAAGTTTGGAGAACCTGATGGCATAATAAAATTTCTATTGGACTTCTATGCGGGTCCTTAGATAAGTCGTATATGCATAGTGGTACATATTGTCATGTGATACAGTGGTTATAGGCAGGTTTGGATTGGTAAGTGGATTTATTGTAACTACAAATAGCCAGAGCACTAACACTAATTCACACACCCTGTAGTTCACTACAGCATGTATGAAGTCTTCTTAGTCTGTTGTATCTTCACATGTTGTCACCTTGTAACAACATTCAAGGCAGTAGCTTCCTCAGCTGCTGTGTTCACAATTTTTACTAGCCGGCGACTGTTTCGCAACTAACTACTCTTCTGACTTCCGTCTCAAGACTTTCTCATAATCATAGCCGCTTCTCATTATACAGCCTCAGCACAGACTACACAGAAAACACCTCTTCCAACAGTTCTTGTATTGTAGCATGATGTACCTATGAGACAGACTGCGTAGAGAACACCGCTGCCCAGTTACTTCATTGTTGCATGTTACAAATCTGTTGCAGCCATTACCTAGTATCTGTCATTATTTACAGAGCCGTTACCTAGCAACAGCTGTTGTATAGGTCCTTATTTTACCATCATTGCATAGCAGTGGGTCTGCATGCCATAATATATTCCTCTTTGGTCCAGTCCAACTGAAAATTTTGGAATATTAAATTATTTACTGTCCTGCACATATTTTTATCTACTTACAGCCATGAAAATTCTGACAGCTTTTAAGTATATCTCATAATCCTTTCACACAGACACAGTTTGTGAAGAACCAACATCATTGAGCTGCAGCTGTGAAAATTGTTACAAAATTAATTTTTAAATGCCATGCTATCATGGTAGCTAATCTGTAATTTTGACATTACAATATGATAGCATGCAGTGGTTACAGGATCCAAGCGATATAAATGGAAATAATCTGAACAGTATAAGACGTGAAACCGGCAGGCATTTTAGGAATAAAAAGAGGTAATATCTGAAAGACAAAATTGATGAATTTGCAACGAACACTAAGAACAAGAACATTAATTCTATTTGGAATATTGAAAAAATGCCTGTTCAGTAGGAGTAGTCTATTATTGTACCAGTTCACAAGAAGGGTGATAAAACTGACTGGTAATTGTTGTGGGATATCACTGCTATCAACTTCATACAAAATTTTATCCACCATTCTTCTCCCAAGGTTAAGTCCATACATTGATTAAATTATTGGGGATCATCAGCGTGGGTTTTGACATAACAGATCACTACTGATCAGATATTTTGCATTCATCAGATACTGGAGAAAAAATTGGAGTACAATGAGACAGTACTTCACCTATTTATAGACTTCAAGAAAGCCTATGATTCAGTTAGAAGGGAAGTATTGTACAATATTATCATAAAGTTTGGCATACCCATGAAACTAGTCAGGTTGGTTAAAATGTGTTTAAATGAAACATATAGTAAAGTCCATGTAGGTGAACATTTATCTGATAATTTTCCTATCCAGAATGGTGTAAAGCAAGGAGATGCTTTATCACCACTGCTTTTCAACTTTGCTTTAGAATATGCCATTAGGAAGGTTCAGGAAAACCAGGTTGGACTGAAATTAAATGGGACATCAGCTTTGGTCTATGCCGATGATGTGAATCTACTGGTTGATAATATAGATACCATAAGGAAAAGCACACAAACTTCAGTTGACACTGGTAAGGAGCTTGGTCTAGAAATAAAGACGGAGAAAACTAAGTATATATTGCTGTCTCATCAGCGGAATGCAGGGCAAAATCATGACTAAAGATAGCTAACAGATATTTTGAAAATGTGGAACAGTTCAGATATTTGGGAACAACGGTAACAAATCAGAACCTGATTCAGGAGGAAATTAAGAGGAGACTAAATTTGGATAATGCTTGCTACCATTCAGTCCAGAACCTGTTGTCTTCTTGTCTCCTGCCTAAAAACATAAAAATTTCAATATACAAAACTATAATTTTACCTGTGGTTCAGTATGGGTGTGAAACTTGGTCTCTGACATTACGGGAGGAACATAGACTGAGGGTGTTTGAGAACAGGTTGTTGAGAATATTTTGACTGAAGAGAGATGAAGTGACAGTAGGTTGGAAAGAACAGCATAATGAGGAGCTTCATAACTTGTACTCTTCTCCAAGTATAATTAGAATGATCAAGTCAAGGAGGATGAGACGGACAGGGCATGTAGCGTGAATGGGGCGAAGAGGATATTGGTGGGAAAGGCAGAAGGAAAGAGACCACCCTGAAGACCAAGATATAGGTGGGTGGATAATATTAAAATGGATCTTAGAGAGATAGGATGGGGTGTTATGGACTGGATTGATCTGGCTGAGGATAGGAACCAGTGGAGGGCTCTTGTGAACATGGTAATGGACCTTTGGGTTCCATAAAATACTGGGAAGTTCTTGAGTGGCTGCCTAATTGGCGGCTTCTCAAGAAGGACTCAGCTTCATGAGTGAGTGATTATGACAGCATTTGTGGACTCTCCCCCTCCCCTTAATATTAATATATATTTGGCCCTGTATGATTTTTTTTTACAGCGGGTAATGCCAAATAGTTTCTTCATTCTGCTAAGGTACTTCCTCCGAATTGACGGTGTGATGCTAAGAATGAACGATACTCGATATTATCATGAATTTGACACAGACTTCATTCTACGAGAATACACTTCCAAAGAAGCAAAGGCACAAGATCTGAATGTAAGTAAACATAACATATACTTCTGTAACATGCAGGAAGTTAAAATAGTGTGATGCATTAATCAATTAAAAAAATGTGTGAATATAAGTATCTAACGAATTTATTATGCCCAGGTGGAGAGACGGTCTTGGCAAATAAGAGGGAGTTCTGGGTAGAACTCATAATCCCTATTTTCTTACTGCATAAACTTCCACTCTTACAGATTTTTTATGTTCATGTTATATTTAAGTAACAAGTTTATAATGCAACAGAAATTGCTATTTAGTCATGGGTTAATGTGCTATATTAAGACATAGACCATCACAGAATCAAATTCTACTTAAGTCGGAATTGTAATTCATGTGTTATGTGATGAAGCTTAATGCAAACTTTCTTAGGTTTCCTGTAACAAGCTCATTGTAGAAACATTTGTATGACATGATATACTTGTGTTCAGTAAGTCTCATTAAGATCATTGTCCCTTTTTTAAATTCTTTCAGCATGACATCTTGAATAAATGGAAGGAAAAGTAATTAATGACCCTCTGAAGTGTAGTGTCCTTACAAGACATGTAAATATCGAATTTTTAAGATAAAATAAAAAATCCGAATTTGAACATTAATTTAAAGTTTCAAACTTCTGGAATTTTCAGATAGCTGTTTTTTCTTTTCCGCAGTAGTACGCAAACTACCTGATCCACCAGAATTGAAATGATCGGCAATGCTGGCATGAATAAACCTGTCAACAAAGTATCTATCCATCCACCCTCCTCCTTTTTCTGCACATGGTCCCTAAAGGACTTAGTCCTAGAGTTCAGTTGTTTTCAAATACAGTGAATCATTGAAGATGATCTGATGCCAAAGGAGATAAGTAGTGTGCTATAGTACATTGTGAAAAAAATGACCTGTGTTATAAATTCTGATTACAGTGAAAAAGGTTGGTGTAAAAGAAAGTGATCCTTCTCATCAAAATTTTCAGAATGTTTTGGATCCTTCTACCTAAAAAAGTCTTTCTCAGGCTTGCCTATTCTTAACTGTTAATGGCTTTGTTAACAGTAGAATTTATGACTAAGCCATGTAGTATCTGTACTGTTGATTAATTTTTAAGTAGTGATTATGTATCTGTGTAAAGATCAAATCCCGCAAGGGATGCCAAAATAATTTAAGTAAATCTGTATATTTATTTTTCATGGACTAATACAATTTATTTAAATTTTAAAATTTTGGATGTTGTAGGTTCCACCATCAAGACTGGTTGATCCAAATGAAGTTGCACAGATCCTCCCACTTATCACTTCATGTTACGAGAAGCTGACGCTACCAAGTACCAAGGTGGAGACAGAGGATGCAACTGCTGTACTATGAATGTGCTTTGTGAACAGTCTTGTAAAGAAAATGTTGGGAAATTCTTGTTTTGAATGCAAAAAGTATTAAACATTTACATCCCTTGTGATAATCCTTTGACTGTCGAGTCCCTGCCATAGAACTACCTGCTATAATTGCTTTTGTTGCTTGGGGTTAAATGCAGTTACACAGAAAACCCACAGTACTTCTCACATAATGATCCATGGATATGAAGTAAATAAAAATAAATAAATACATGACCTTCATATTACTGGAGGTATTGGTTATGTGAAAGCCTGTTCTTTCCTCTCTTATGTCAGATGTGATACCAAGTACAAGTGTACAAGTGTTGTACTAACTGATTAACACTGAGCCAGTCTGTTTGGCTATGGGGTGTTTAAGTACTTTGAGTCAAATCTGGATGGTATGTGGAATACAAAGAGATCAGATGAAATTGTTGGGTCTGAGGTGGGAGGAAAGTAAAGCTAACCCACTCACTTCCACATGTTGCCAAGGTTAGACTGGATGGAACTATATCTTTACTCCATGTGTCTTCATAGTGTGGTGCTTAATTAAGAACAAGGAGAACATCACCTTATCTTGAATGAAAGTATATGATATGGAAGCAAGTAAAAGAATGCCATATACAAGAGAACTGTCTTCAGTCCCTTGATTGTAATTGTAATTCATGCAGGAAAGTCTACTTTGTAATAAAGTTAAGGCCCCAGTGAGTGCAGTGTAGTTTAAATTTGTCTCTCTTATAATTGTGGAAGAGGAAATGTATAGTCTAGCAGAACCTATAAATTAGCTGTACAAGTTACACTCTGGACAGACATGGGAAGTATCCCAATACAGGTTCTTGCAGGCAATTGGTATTCTTCACTAGTGACTCCTTTGGGCATAAAGGTTTTACACTAAGCAGGAGATTCATATCCCATTCTGGTTTGAAACATTCACATTATTTTTGTGGGTTACTTTATGCTTCCAGCATCTAGACTACTGTAATTGTACATCTTTTTTCCGCCCAACTAATTATAAATACTGGATAACTGGGATCAGCCAGATGCAAATAGTTACCTGGCCATTGGAATTTGGCCTCTGTGTTCCAAGCCAAAAGAATGATAGACCCAAATGTAACAGTGCTTAGGAAAGAACGTAGATAACAGGTTGGTCCGGCTAGCGGGGCAGTTGAGCCATAGCTGCTGCAAAGTGACATTGGATTCCATGGCCAAAAAAATGCAAAATTAATGTGTCCAAGTGTGAGAACCCACTTATTTGTACCTGTGTTATATGTGATTGTGAAGGGGATATGGAGATGTGTTAAATAAAGTGTCTATAAAAGTGATATGATACATTGGGTTCTGAAACTGTTTCACACATGTTTATCACGCCCTATTCAGAGACTGGTCAACCCTGGTCTGTATACCTGTCCATTTGAGAAGACTGCTCCACCAAATCACCCTTTAACAATCCTGAGGAAACAAGCAGCCTGGAACATCAATGAAAGCAGAGACTGCAGTAGTGGCCGAGCCATCGAACTGACATAGCAGCCTAGGTGGCTATACTACTTAGTGCTTGAATGTATAAGGGGGTGGGCCTTCTTGGCCCTCGCACCGCAACCTACAGTGATCTATTGTGCTTTATTTAGTGCTTAGTGGTAGGATGATGAATATGAATTGGAAAGGATCTCGAATAGATCGTGGCCTAATCAAAGTACTGCCCTGGCCAGACATCAAACTGAGCACCTGTGAAATAAAAAATCTACAATGTTACTGCCAGACCAATCTGCTTTGCGGAATAATCACAAATTCCTCAAAGAGTACTGTCTTCTGGAATGTGAAGCAGTGTAATCCTTTAATAATCTGTAGTTCATAGATGTTTCAAAGGAACAAATTTTCTCCATCTTGAATACAGTTCTGATTCTTGTCCAACCTTGAACAACTGAATCAAAGGCCACTAGGTTTTGGTGTTTCTTTCTGCTTTATTTCAAAACGTGTATTGGCCTAACTGGCCATCATCAGGCATACAACATGTGTTCAAGGAGTCTGCTCTGCCTTCCTTTTGATGTATTAGACCCTTCTAGATGTTACATTCATGTTATTTTGCGCCATTCCTCTGTGTCCAACCACGTGTTTGGTTTATGCTCAGTGAATATGCTTTCATTTCTTCTGGTGGTGTATCTGCTCTGCTTGGTTCTTCATGGTCATATAATAGACAAAGTAAGTCACCCATCTGCTTCTTGCTATATACATTCTTCGCTTACTCGATGCAGAAGATGGAGGTTGAATGCTTCTCCGAAACGTCGGCGTACTAAGCTCGCCTACAGACCGTCACATCCGAAAAACCAAGACTCCACACTCATTGTAGTGAGAACCCCAAGTCCACGGGTCAATCAATAATTTCGACACGATTCCCTTAATGCTGCTGCCGGTCTTGTCTGATAATCTTTGGTATCGATCAAAGATGATTCTTAGCCCATAGCATTTTCATATGTTTAATTGTCAAAGTGGGATGTGATACGTCACCGTGGTGGACGAGAAGGGCCAGCATTGAACACAATGTTATGTGTTTGGTAGCTCTGAACCAACTGTCGACGCTGTCGACTGCGAACAGCTGTATAGTGGACGATGGAATTTGACATTTTGTTGAGGTTTAGGTGCACTGCAATTATTAGAAATCTGCGGCAGTGACTGTTCGAAATGTTTTTTCTGAGATGGTTTGGTTACGTAATTAATTTTTCTATTATATTTTTGAATTTAAGTGTTGTATATGGGGTACGTAAATATGAGCGAAAGGATTTACTAAGCCTAAGGTATGTATACCTTGGTTGTTACCGTAAATGTGTGAATTTTATATGTTGCGAGTCAGCTCGAATATTAATGTATAGCCCGTCACGATAGATCTGTTTTTTTTTTTTACCAAGGTCCGCAAAAACATGTATGTTTGTCTTCAGTATTAACATAACACCAGTAAGTCATACGCATTGTCTTTAACGCTTAATCTGGTACAGATTTATAATAATCACGCATAAGCGTTGCAAATGAACGAACTGTACCCTAGCCTACGTTGCCAGTGTACATATACAGTTTTCCATGCACCTCTAAACTTTACACTGATCATGTTTTTTGGAACGGGCTTTTGCCCCCGATTTTAAATGGAGAAGATTGTTCTGGTTTTTAAGGTTGTAATTAATTTATGTTGACATGTTTCTTGATACTGCAAACAAAAGAGAATCTGGGAAGTGTCTGTTGCCCTCACACTCAAAACTTCCTGTTTTGCAGAATTTGAATGTTTATTTTCGTTTGTAGGTGACATTAGTGTCAATACTGTTTCTTTATTAGAGTCCATCACAACACAACAATATAAAAGTCAAGGCTAAAATTAGCCTGGCTACATGTTTCAGCTATTAAAGCCATCATCAGGCAAACACATGACTACCATATTCGCATACCACTGACCTGCAATTATGATGGTAAAGCTGGGCACTTGATAATACATTATAAAATACATTGTATAAAAGTACAATGAAGTACAAACTTATTAAAATGAAGGTTAAAACTCTTTGTTTGATATTCTATATCATCAAGTCAGTTTGTTGCAATTTTGTTATATTCCCACAGACAGATTCAGTCTTGTATACATGTAATAAACTGCTTGAAGGCCTGTGGTATAGATGTAGTATAGTTTTGATGTTAATTGTTTAGCCGGTGCCTCATCTTACAATGTATTTTGTCCATTCTGTAGGGAATATAGATTGCAACTAAAAAAAAAGTGTAAATACTGTTAATCATAGCACTTTTGTGTTCCGCATTGATATAAGTCAGAATTAGTTTAGTTAAGCGTGGTAAAGTCTGGAAGGTTAATGTGCAGAACTTATGTTCTGTTTGCAGATAGTATTAGTATAGTCAATATACATGTCACATGACATTGATCTTATTGTAGTGTCATTTTGCATTGTAAAAATGGTACAGTATAGATGTAGTTGTCTAATGCTTCCTGGAATTCTCATACAAGTTTATGTGCAAATTCAGGATAACTGCTGAAACAGATGCACTGCATTCTTGTGGTACCTTATGTACCTTTTCAGAACCACAAAATCTCGTTCATTTTACACTGCACCCATTGGTTCACTCTTCAGTCCTGGCCCTAATCCCACCTTTCCAATAACAGATCTCTGTTCCTTCATGGCTTACTTCTTTATGCTGAAGATGGAGCAGCAGGTTCACTTGAAATGTTGGAACCTATCTACTAAACTATATGACTTTACATTTCAGGTAACAGTGCCCTTTATTTGTAGAGAATTGTCGGATTAAATACTCATGTTTATAATGTGTCTATTAGTGAGGTCATATTTTTATTATATGCATTTTACTGTAATTAGCCTCTCTAATCAGAGGGTCTGGTTTTCAGGGAAGAGGTCCGTCAAATGTTTCAGCATGCGTATGACGGTTATTTAAAGTATGCATATCCCTATGATGAATTGCGGCCTTTGAGTTGTGATGGAGTGGATACATGGGGAAGGTAAGTACAAGTATGCTGTATGTATGTATACTCCAGGCAGTCACTCTTTGCTGGAAGAATACCCCTATTACATACTAGACTTGTGGGAGGATGACAATAATCATTCTGGATGAGGTGGTGAAGAGAGAATTTGAAATGTTTCTCTCAGAAAGCAGGCTCTGCTTATTTAGTTTGTAGCTGTTTATCTTACTAACCAGTTTTTTTTTTTATTTGTATAGTGGGGGGTGGAGTCCATCTGGGTTCACTCGGCCTGTCGGCCACTGATTGGCCTATTGTTCCTGCCCTGCGTGATTATGATGATGAGAAATCAGTGGAATGAAGATTGGCAGGGGAAACTGAAGTTCTCGGAGAAAATCTGCCCCAGTGTCACTTTGTCCACCACAAACCCCACTTGACCAGACTTGGGCTTGAACCTGGGCCACTGCGGCAGGAAGCCAGCGACTAACCGCTTGAGCTATGGCACGGCCAGTTACTAACCAAGGTATCATGTCTTTCCAATTTCCTGGTACAAGGCAGTTGGTAGTTATTTGAATGACTACTAATCAGGTTGGCTCAAGCAGTAATTCTTCTGACTTATTCACTATGTACCCAGTTCAAATTTTGGTTGGACACCCAGCAGATTTTTTGTGTTGTTTTCATCAGTCCTCTCAGGCAAATTTCAGAATATTGAAATCAGTCCCTGATTGCTTCCATCTGTGATCATTTGATGCTGTGTCATCTGAGGTATTGTTTCATTCATTTTCAGTCATCTATGGCTCTATAGCTCTTTGTTGAACCCTGGCTGCTTTTTCAATTTCGTAATTCAATACATAGTTGGTAGGCCACCATCACAAGGCCGCTACCTACACACAGAATAAACGCACGCAGGTATCCATGCCTGAAGTGGGATTCGAACCCACAATCCCAACATTCAAGCAAGCAAAGACAGTTCTTGCCTTAGACCATGTAGCCACTGTGATCGGCGAGGTATTGATAACATTGTTAAATAAATTATAAACAAACAAACATAACTGTACTTTCATATGTGAATAATAAATTTTTTTGTGTCACAGTTATTCGTTGACACTTATTGATGCCCTTGATACATTGGCTGTGATGGGAAATTACTCTGAATTTCAACGAGTTGTTGATATAATCACAACAAATGCAAATTTTGATGCCAACATCAATGTTTCTGTGTTTGAAACAAATATACGCATAATTGGTGGCCTACTGAGTGCACATCTACTGTCTTACAGGTAAGTAAGCAAGCAACCATTTCTTGTCCCTCTTAATTGGTACACGAAGATACAAATGTTAAGAAAAGCAGTGTTAACAAAAACCAATTTCTTCGCAAGTATTGATGTAAAATAAGAATCCATTACCCTCTGTTGCTGACATTAAAATTCTCCTTCTGGTTTTAAAAATTTACTGTGAAAATGGGCACACTGAAAAATCACCTCAAGCAGTAACACAACTTGTATTCAGAAAGTGATGGGTTCAGATCTTGGCTGGGATTCTGGCTATCCTCAATGAGGTTTTTTGTGGTTTTCTTCAGTCCCTGCAGGCATGTTTGAAGATAGTACCGTAAATGACCTCTTATTTGCGCATCCTAAGGGAAGTTTGTGGTGATCTTTTGCAACAAATTTAGAAAGCTGAATGGCTGAAGAGGATTATCAATGAATATGAAATATGGGGTTTTTGGTATGTCCCTGACACAAAGTAGCAGAGAATGCAATTGATATACTGAGATTTACCCAGCCCCAGGAAAGTGTATATGTCAAAATCAAAACACAAGACATTATTAATTCATTTCTTTAACTTCAGAGGATTAATGCATGAAGGGTTTGTTCCACCTGATTAGACTGTTAACCAAAAGTTTTATCTCTAAGTTTTGGAATGTCTGAGGTAGTCAGTTCGTCATGTGAGGTAAGAATTCTTCCCCAACTAGTGGATCATGACAACATGCCCTCACACATGGCGCTTTCCACCAAGGAATTCTGGGGAAAAACTTGGTTGTGATTATGGAACATTCCACTTATTCAACAGATCTCACTCTTTGTTACTTCTTCATCTTCCCTGCCATGAAGAATCATCTCAAAGATGACATTTTAAAATCACAGAAGAAATTTGGGAGGTTGTAATGGCTGTTCTGAACAGCTTGCAGGAGAATGAATAACGGAAGTGCTGTGACAATTGGGAACAATGCTGGCATTTATGTATAGCTGCTAGAGGGAACTACTTCGAAGGGAGTACAGTCTTGTTATTTGCTAGACCTCTTGTCTTTTTTTGAAAATGCATAAAAATGGCATAAAATGTATGAATTTTATGTACATTTAAATACTGATCGTCAAGGTGTAACGTATAGTAAGGTAAAGTTATCCCTGTTTTTAATTAACTAAACACCACACTGTGAAGACATATGGGAAAGTGGAGGTATAGCTCCAGTGTTCTTGACCTCAGTGCAAGATGGAGATGAGTGGTCAGTTTTGTGCCCTAACCACTTTACCCCAAGGGAAAGCTCACCCAGCACCCATTGGATAGGAGGCTAGGTGGGCTTCAGAGCCAGTGTGGATGCTGTTGAGAAAAGAAAAATCTCTTGCCTCTGCTGGGAATTGAACCGTGGCTCTCCAGCCTGTCATTATACCAGCTGTACTTTCCCAGCTCCCATAATGACTACTATACTTGCTTTTTATTTGGTGTTCCTCAGGCTTCAGTCTTGGCCTCTACACTGGCTCACTGATGGGTTTTCCTGTCCCATTAGGCACTAGTTTAAACTGTCCCTTAAAATAAGTCTCAGCTGCTTCCTTCTATACCCTTTTGAATTCACCATCCACATTTATCCTCTCATTCAGTGCAGTATAGCCTTAGAGTTAAGAGACAAACAAGCAAACAAACAAGTAGTTTACATACATTTTAAATTTGTGAGGTAGCCAGTTCTTTCAAGAATGGTGACCCTTCAAAACAGAAAACTTAATCATCTAGTGTAAATGATTAGGTTGAGTTTCTCAGAACTCGGAGTGAATGGTATAGTTAAGTTGTCTTCACAGAGCAGGTGTGGCTGTTCAGAAAGGATGGCCATGCAACGGGCCGCTGTTACAGCTGGCTGAGGATGTTGCACGGCGCCTAATAGCAGCATTTGATACGACAACAGGCATGCCATATGGCACCGTGAACCTTCGGCATGGTGTTCCAGCTGGTGAAACAAGCATCACTTGTACAGCAGGAGTTGGAACTTTCATCTTGGAATTTGGAACCCTTTCAAGACTCACAGGGGACCCGTTGTTTGAAGAGGTAGGAGACAGTTTGGTGATCTGAGTGGGGACATGCTTAGGCTGGGACTGAGGCAGCATGTTCAACCAGTGTTGCAGTTTGGAAACTTACTTACTTACTTACTTACTTACTTACTCATAGAGGTGAGCCCTTCTGGAGGAGCCGCCAATTCTGCAGCTACTCAAGAATTTCCTAGCATTTTGTGAAACCTGAAGGTTCTTTACCGTGTTCACAAGAGCCCTCCGCTGGTCCCTATCCTGAGCCAGATCTATCCAATCCATACCATCCCATCCTATCTCTCTAAGATCCATTCTAATATAGTCCACCCACCTATGGCTTGGTCTTCCCTGTGGTCTCTTTCCTTCTGGCTTTCCCACCAATATCCTATACGCATTCCTCATCTCCCCCATTCGTGCTACATGACCTGCCTAACTCATCCTGCTTGACTTGATCATTCTAATTATACTTGGAGAAGAGTAAAAGTTATGAAGGTCCTCATTATGCAGTTTTCTCCAACCTCATATCACTTCATCTCTCTTCGGTCCAAATATTCTCCTCAACACCCTGTTCTCAAACACCCTCAGTCTATGTTCCTCCCTTAATGTCAGAGACCAAGTTTCACACCCATACAGAACCACAGGCAAAATTATAGTTTTGTATATTCTAATTTTTAAGTTTTTGGACAACAGACAAGAAGACAAAAGGTTCTGGCCTGAATGGTAGCAAGCATTACCCGAGTTCAATCGCCTCTTAATTTCCTCCTGAATCAGGTTTCAATCTGTCATCATTGTTCCCAAATATCTGAACTGTGCCACATTTTCAAAACATCTGTTTCCTATCTTTATGTCATGATTTTGCCCTGAATTTTGTTGACGAGACAGTAACATATACATAGTTTTCTCTATGTTTACTTCTAGACCTACCTCTTTACTAATGAATGAATGAATGAACAAATAAGTAAGTAAGAGGTAGGCCTTGACCAGTCCATGACAATGAGTGGTCTGTTGTGTGTCCCCCCTCTGTTTCAACCCTTCAACAATCCTGCACTTCAAATGGAGTGCAGTATCTTACTTAAAAGGGTGTCATGGCAGTCACTTGGTTCCATGAAGCAGTGACCCACGTGACCAAATCTTCAATAAGTAATAGCCTTACAATTATATAGGACATACGTTGCTGATACATCTTTTTCTGGGCACCTTTCACAGAGGGAATTATTGGTTAACCCCAGTTTGAAAAGATGTCCTTTCAGATGGCAGTTTTTATGGATAGTCCTATTTTCCACTGTAATTGGTTTTTGTTTAGTTTAACAGTTTCTTGGTTCTTCTGGCAGAGTGTCCTTGTAGAAACCTTGTCCATGTTTGAGGCCTATTAAGGACACGTAGTATATCTGGTATCATATCATATTATATTTTATCTATTTGTTATATTTTACTTTTCATTTTATATCTTATTTTAGTATATAATGGACTGCTTCTGTATCTGCGGTGACTGTCTTGCCTGTACGGATTGCTTGAGGTAATAATAAATCAAATAAAAAAAAGAAAGAATGTATTCACAATATGGCATTTGAATCATTATAATTGGTCTTATTCAGGGAAATACATATCATGATAGATAACTTCACTGGACGATTATTTTATGCTTTTAATTACAGTTTTATGTATATATTGTGGCATATAGACACATTGCTAAATGGCAGCTCTGTAAACAGTGACCATTGCTACACAACAGCTTGGTAAATAATAGTCATTGCTATGTAACGCCCACAACATACAGGTACGTAGCAATAGAAGAACCATGTATTCTATGTGGTCCCTGCCTTGATTTTATAACTGGGAGATTTGGAACTTAGTGAGTTCAGCTGAGTTCTGCATGGAAAGCTTTGAAGATAGGACTTCAGCGTGTGAAGCTGAAGAATCTCAACTATTAGAAGCTGTTACCAAGGAACAGCTGGTGAAGACACAGGAGGCTGGAAAAGGCTTAGCTGGTGCTATGTTGATTCATGAGTTGTAGAGATCAGCGGTAGTTGTACTTGTAGTTCCATGTGGTGTGTATAAGTGCTCAATAAATGCATTCATCAGTCCATACCCTGTCTATAGTCACACACAAACACCTGACAGTATATACTCATATACAGGGTGTTTCACGACTTTAGGGCATAACTGCAGGAGGTGATTTCATAGGTCTTTGTGATAAAAAAAAGTTCATATAAATGTGTCGGATTTTGGATGGATACGGAGTTATGACCGTTTTTTTCATTCCCGTACATGCCCTCGTGTGAACCATGTCTGTCAGCTGGCGGCTCGCTATGTTTAGCCGGCTACAGACATAGCGTTCTTGTTATCTCGACACTTGAGAGCTATGTAAGGTGGGGTGGGTTGGTATGTCCGCCGTGGTTCACAATCGAGCGGCAGCCTGTGTTGCGGCTGGCGGTGGCATTTTAGAAAATCAGCTTTAAGCACCAATAAATTCAAATTAAAGGTAATTTCACGAAGTTAACTTTACATTCATACTTTAAATGTATCATGTATTATGCTGGTTTATTATTTTGTTCCGTTTATTTCAGTAATCATTACCTTCTATTCTGAGTTTAAAACGGTCATAACTCCATAATTGTCCAAAATCGGACACATATTTATATGTACTTTTTTGATCACAAAGACCTAGGAAATCACCTCCTGCAGTTATGCCCTAAAGTCGTGAAACACTCTGTATATACATTATATATATGTATTGTTTTCAGGTTGCTATAAATGCATTATATGGCTTGTATCATCACCGCTCACCAATTGGCCTAGTTGGCAACCACATTGATGTCCAGACAGGACGTTGGACAGCTCAGGATGCTGGAATAGGGGCAGGTGTTGACTCGTATTATGAATACCTGGCCAAAGGTTCCATATTGCTTCAGCGTCCAGAACTCATGCATATGTTTAATGAAGGGCGCATAGCCATTGAAAAGTATCTGAAGAGAGATGACTGGCATCTCTGGGTGTCTATGACCAAGGGCCAAGTCACATTACCTGTGTTCCAGTCTCTAGAAGCCTACTGGCCTGGAGTTCTGAGCCTTGTAGGTGTGTAATATTTGTAAGATAGGAGAATAAGTACAGAGCACTATAAAAATAATTCACAAACAGTAATATAGATCACACACTAAATATTCTGTCTGTACATAGTATATTCTTCATTCAGAAGTAGATCATGCTGTTAGAATTACATGTGATAACACCACTCACTTCCATCTAGTGCTGAGGTCAAGAATGGTGGAACTGTACTTCTAGCTCCCCCCATATGCCTTCATGGCATAATGCTTAGTTACAGTATTGAAGAGCAAAAATGTCTTTCCATTGTATGGGTATTATTTAATTACAGGTGATGTGAATAAAGCAATAAAGTCTCTCCACAACTATCATCAGGTATGGAAGCAGTATGGATTCACTCCTGAGTACTACAATATTCCGCAGGTACGTTTGCCTGAAGTAATTATCCATTAATTTTATTTGTGTTCATTAACCACTTTTAGTCCTTCTTGAGGACTACTGCCTAGTCATGGAGTGAAGGTTTGTGTGCCCCCAGTGACCTGGAGAGCTCTACTGGCAGGAGTGTAAGCCCCTGGTAAGGTCACACATGCCAGACAGATCAAAGGGTAGAGGCCAGATGAAACGTAGTCTCTGGTCCTCTGGTTTGGGGGTTAGCCATTGGGCTAACAGCACTACCCCAGAAAAATTTACTGTTACGAAACTATGTAGGAGGCAAGATCCACACAGGATTGTAGCATTAATAAAGAAGAAGAATAGAAATCTTGTAGTACCACAATAATAATATTGTTATAATTCGCTACTATGAGTGTGGTGGGCCTGGTATTTGAGAGTACCATTTGGATTATTTGTTCTGTAATTGTAGCACTCTTCCTTCCCAAATAAAAGTTGTTAATTTTGCTTCTGCAGTTTGTTCTACAAAACAGATATTGTTAGATATTGTTTCTACAGTGTACTGTCATACTTAACCCTAGATCCTTAGCAGGTCCTGAGATTCATTGAAATCAAGTGCGTAAGGTCTCAAACACCAGTTTTGAGTCATTAGTTCACAGATATGAGCCAGTTAAGGAACATTGGGCTTTCCACATTAAGTGGATCCAGACGTTTGAGGACATTTTTAGTAATCTCTTCCAATATAAAACTGCTCATCAAATTTAAGCATGCTTCACTGCAGCTCCAGTGATGGCCACTGATCAGGTTCAAAGCCCCACACTTGTGGCTGCAAATGATGCTACAGTATGTAAGAGGCTAATTGAACATGAGTACAACTTCATCTTTTATTTTTGCCTTACCAGAAACTTGTTTCAAAATGGAAAGTGTCAGTTTATGGCAGAACCTCATTTACATAATGTGTGTCTGTGTAACTGAACAATTTTACCACTCATATGAGGGTACAGTATGTTTATATCCATTTGGCCAAACATTTAACCATATGAATTTAGACTATTTTAATATTTTGTGTAAGTTGATACAAATGTGGATAAAAATGAAAACTTGTCAAAGAGTTCAAATTATAGTACACTTTGTTCAGACAGGTTGCAGTTACTGAACCCCACTCACCCATAGTCCCACAGAATACTGTAGACAGATACCATAATTATACTGGAAGTGTTTAGAAACTCAACTTTAAGTAATAAATTCAGAGAACAAACATAGTACATTCTCAGTATGCTTTTCTGTACCTTAAACAGAATAATGAGATGTGTTTATTTAATTTGTTATGAATTTAGGCCAAGGCTAAAAATGTAATTGCCACCAGTCTTTGTTTATTTGCCCATGATAAGTGTAATTCTGGAGCTGTGGCTGCAACTAGTAACTTTTCCTGCCATGTATTCTTCCAGGGAGAAGCAGGAACAAATCGTGAAGGGTATCCTCTACGTCCGGAGCTAATAGAGTCAGTAATGTACTTATACAGAGCCACTGGTGATCCATATCTACTGGAAGTTGGCAAAGATATCCTCCGTAGCATCCAGCACAGTGCCCGCACATCCTGTGGTTATGCTACAGTATGCATCTCTAATTAAGGAGGCAGATAATTCTGATATAAATACTTGTCATAAATGAGACCAAGGAACCTACAGAATCATATTTAAAGTTGAATGTATATTACAGTCAGGGCCAGAAATGGGGTGGAGATGGGTAGATGCCATCTCTTTACTTCCAAAGTCATCTTTCTTATAGCAAAACTGTTTATAGTGCCTTAAAATATAAGCGTTGTTCCCATGAATTTCTAACGTACAGTGCAATAATTTATTTTGTATATGTGTTGGTCATTCTCCTAGACTTCTGTACTGATCTGGAGTGCCTCCCTAGTTCTGAAAAACGATTTCCATGTCTGATCGCAGTATAATGTATCCACTGTTTATTACTGATAAGTCTGTGAATTACTGTGAAATATTTAAGACACTAGATACAGAGAAAGTTAATTAACACTATTTGGTGCATGAAATGGATTTTAGGTCATCCATCTATCTTTAGGTAGTAATTCAGTATTTTTGAATTACTTATAATGTCTTTGCTGCCTGAGTTCTAACTAAGAAGTTGTTATAGTTGTTACAAATGGTCAGAATGTAGACATCATGTACCTGGATCTGAATGTGTCTGTTAGTGAGCACCAGACATCTGTATTTTGCAAGTAAAAACACATCACAGAATTAAATAACTACCAATTTTCAATCACTTTGTCCCATGTCATGCATATTGTTGCCATAGGATGGATAGAAACTGATAACAAAATCTGTGTTGGGATTTTAAAAATCATTAAAATCATTTCATTCATCATATCACATATATGTGGCATTAAATATTTACTTTACATTATGCACATTTTTATAAAGGTTTCAGTATAAAGGAAACTTTCTAAAACATTGTGTGATTTGCATATAATTGACTGATTTGTGAAGGATTTTTTTATGAGTAAGAATTGCCAATATGAAATTATATTGCATTATTTTAATACAGACAAATATGCGCACATAACCAAGATATGCACCTTTCACCTTCTATACACTTAAGCACTTAAGAGGAAGGTATCTAAGAGTCATATTTTCTGGGATATAATGCTGCGTAGCATTTTGAAAGTCAACTGACATTTTGGAGGAACATCTCACCTCCATCTTCAGGGTTGAAGAATAGGCCAAGCACGAAACCAGCATGAGGCATGTAGCACGCAGAGCTCAGCTTGCTACTGGTGTTATAGCCCAGAAGATACAACTCTTCATAACCACTGAATTCATGAAGTATCTCAGGTTTTTTTGCCCTGAAATTTATACAAAGGCAGATATCTGAGTAGTTCCTCTGAAATAAAATTTTTAACTTTTCTTTGTCCTTATTGTATGCTGTTGCAGATTAAAGATGTTCGGGATCATCGAAAAGAAGATCGTATGGAGTCTTTCTTCTTGGCTGAGACCACAAAGTATCTCTACCTGCTGTTTGATACAGACAATTTTATTCATAATCGTGGCCAGCATGGCACGGTGGTGAACACTCCATGGGGTGAATGTGTCATGGAAGCCGGGGGTTACATATTTAACACTGGTCAGTTAATTCATTTAAGCAGCTATACATAGATTTTCATTTTGTGTTTGCTGTTTCCCTTTGTGTACTGTGGTTCACTTCATTTCTAAAAATATTATTTTGGCCGTAATGTTGAGTCATGATAACTAAATCTGTAAAATGACAGATTGCAACCTGGATGCTTTGTGTTTTATTTCTTGTAAAGGTGTTCATACTTGTCACTTCACTACACCATTCAGAATGTCTCCTAAGTATAAAGCCAGCTGAAATGTCATGCTGAGCACTCACCTGTCTAGTGCTGATGTTAATATGTGCAGCCTAATACAGGGTCTGGATGAAAGAATCCAAAATAAAAAAAGATTTATATCTCAGAAACTTATTGTCATACATGTATCTGGTGTAGACAATCAGAAAGAAAAACTCTGAAAGTTTTTTTTTTTTCATGCCCAGCTTATGCGAGTGCGCTAGCTAATGACCTTTGATGAGTTCAGTAACGATGTTGACACAATAGAACAGGTTCAATGCGTGTTGTGACTAGCAGGGCTGCAATCTCTTACAGCTGTCCAGCATCGTTTTAGAATGCAATATGGAAATCAGCCTCCTATACAGAAAAGCATTTAGTTCTCAGACAATGAACTGAGGGCTGCAGGTCGTCTGTTGCATGTAAAATCTGCTGGAAAGACATGGACCTCTCAAGAAAACGTCAATCACATTAGAGAGGCATTCCAGTGAAGTCCACGCAAATCAATTCTTGCTGCCAGCTTGTAGTTATGTACAAATTCTACATTCAGCAGTGCATGATGTGCTACACAAAAGGCTCCATCTAAGAGTGTACAAGATTCAAATGACCAAGTAGCACTCACAAGCTTCACTGTGGACATGCTAGAAAGACTTGACACATCACCCAATTTCCGCCACCGAGTGTGCTTCTTGGGCGAGGCGACGTTCCATGTCAGTGGAGTTGTAAACAGGTACAACTGCAGGATTAGGGGCAGTCAAAATCCACAGCCCCAAAGTGAACATGTGGGCCAGCTTGATGCACGACAGGTTGATTGGACCATTTTTCTTTTCAGAAAAGACTGTGACCAGATGTTCGTACATGGACATGCTGGAGTTGTATGCACTGTCTCAAGTACCATCTCAAACTATCCTCCAACAAGATGGGGCGCTGCCACATTTCTGCCACCATATTAGGAATCACTTGGGCAGAGAGATGGCTGGGAGATGGATCGGCCGAGGTGGACCAATTGCTTGGACTCCTATGTCACCAGATTTAACCCCATTAGATTTGTTCCAGTGGGTTTACGTGAAGAACATTGCCTACCAGGTTAAGATTAATGACCATCAACACTGAAAACCCGCATAAGGGACATGGCTATGGTATATGGTAACACTAAAGAGGCTTCAAGCAACGTGGAACAAGTTCGAAAATTGTCTGGATATTTGTTGTGCCACCAAGGGAGCCCACATTGATATTTACTGAGAAAGTTATATACTTTAATACTTTCCCTTTGTAATTCTATAACCCATAATTGTGTATAATAACTACTTTCTGGGATATAATTATTTTATTTTGGATACCTTTCATGCAGACATTCTGTATATTTCATGAAATAGTTGTAGGCATTGGGAGACCTTTGACCATTTTTCCCTTTCAAGACTGTAATCTGTGTTAAATGATACAAACTCCGTCCTAAGTGCAAACAATATACATTTATATGTCTTTGATCTTGCTCTTTCTACACTACATGTTTCGGCCTCTATCGGCCATCATCAGGTGTATACTCTTAACGTTGCTGCCACACTGAACCCAGTCTAAAACTTAACATTTAAAAACACAATGTCACGTTCTTCGTATTATCAACATCTACATCGTTGATATGTGTCTGGTATGTAGATTATGTNGGATGCTTAAATATAATATTGTAATCTGTGTGTCAGTATGAAATGCTTGTAGTTTTCACATAATCACAATAATGTATTGCACCAGTTAACTCTTTTGCTGCTGAGCTTTCAAAAATACGAGGTGTTTTAGCAGTCAATTCTTGCAGAACTTGGATTATTATGAGTTCAAACTTCAGTGTTGCAGCTGTTGCATTTATTCTGAGATCTGCATCCGAGAAGGGTAGAACATCCATAGACCATTTAGAGAAACTATCTCCAATATTAACTGAATTTTTTTACAAGAATTGTAGTAAACTATAGCTTGCTTAATGTTATGCCATGTTAGTAGCATTTTCAGTTGGTAAAGTGTGCAAACAAACATGGCTTCTTTTAGATGCAAACAGTTTATAAAATGTTATATTTTAGCGTCCTGTTGCACTGATTTAAGTCCATGATTTATTTAATCCGTCTTGCAGTGCATACACTCATTTTTCTCCTTCTCTCCCTCGCACTACATGTTTCGGCATAATAATGCCATCTTCAGGTGCTTACTTATCCACGTCAAACCAGTTCATTGCATGCCATGTTCNATAGAATACTGCAGTTCCATGCATTTGTTCTTTTCAGAATGTAAGATTTTCTCATAAGAGAAAGAATATATTTAAGACTAAAACAGGGATAAATGACAGTATTACTTTGTTTCCAAATTGATAGAATGTTAGTTATACATTTTATGAACCAGAATATTATATGTAACTAAATCTAATACATTCTCCTAAATCAGAAGGAAAAGAGTCAGGAAAGAGTAAAATTATGGAGGAAAATTTATAATGTCTAATGTGCATATTTATTTTACCTCTTTACTGTGGGTATGCGGTAGCGTAGTGATTAAGGTACTATGCTACAAGCTGGAAGGTTGCGGGTTCAAGTCCCGATGAGGTCATTGGATTTTTTTTTCAGTTTACCTAATCCTTCCAGCCACACTAGGCCCTGGGGTTTACTCAGCCTCTAACAGAAATGAGTACCAGGAATTAATTAAATGATTTTCCTGGGGAGTGAAGCTCAGCCAGCGTGTAAGGTGACAACCTTACAACCATCTTAACGTCTCACAACCCTCACAACCACAACAGTGGTACTAAAATGAGTACTGGGTTCCATGCAACTATGAACACAAAGTATTATATATTGTGGATCGCTAGCCCTGTAAAATTATGATTCTAATTTGAGCTGAGAAGTGAAGCAACTGAGTGAGAATATGGGGCAGATGTGCAACATTAACATATGTCTTGTTTTACTTGCTGTAGAAGTGACTTTACATGCTAAGTGAATACTGTGTCATGCTTGATAGTTTTGAATCTTGCCGTGAATGAACTTCACTTTGCCATGTAGTACTAAAAATATATTCCTCAACTATCAGACATTCACATGCTGCAATATTAAAAGAACCTCAATGCTAGTAAATGTGAAGTGTCATGTAGGAACAGGTGATACATTGTACATCTGAGAAGTACGCCTATCTTCATATGATCTATAGTGAGACGTAATTTAATGATCCTGATCCTGCATGCGTGTGTCGTAGCAAGCCCAAACTCGGGCAAAAAATGTTGCTCTGTTGACAGATCTTCATTTCAACTCCAAATGTTGAAGAGCGCAGTTGCAGGCTTGCAGCATTCAGATTACGTTCTGCCATATCTAACAGACTGATGTTCATTTTGGTAACACATGGCCAAGACAGTTGTCAGCCACTGCTGTTTTGATGCAGGAAGAGCTGAGCATTGATACACGTGATTATTATGTCGTTGCCAGATTGTCGTTAATAAATTATTTGTTTTACAAAAATTAAGCATTTTAAAGCAGAAGAATCTCAAAGTAGTGTTTTCTTTTTCATTCTGAGTAATAGTTTGATGTCAGAAGTTCAGATGTACATAATATAAAATAAATTAGCTGAACTATTTGCATGTAATTTGTTCTGTTATATGGATACTTAGTTTTGATTAATTTTAGACCTTGTAGTAGGGGAAATACAGCAGAATCATGTTAATTGTGCTGCTTTTTAATTTCATTAACTGGTCGTAAATAATGTTTAACCTTCTTTTTGCCCAGCTTATACTGTAGTTAATATATACTGATTCAGAATTGTCCCATTTGTCACATTTCTCCAGGGCTGTAGCAAGATGAAGTGAGATAATAGCTGAAGTATTGTGAAATTTATGCTCATCTGTTTCACAGAAGCTCACCCAATTGATCCTGGTGCTCTCCATTGCTGCAGTGAACATCGCATAGCTGATGTTCAGAATATGATGACAAGTCGAGATTATGGAACTTTGAGGGGTGATCCATTAACTGTTAGTCATAAATCACTGCAGGCTGACCAATCAAAGAAAGGTAAGTAATATATGGGTAGGTACCTAAGGTACAGTATAGCCCCTCGTTGGTTTGAAGTTGGATAGCCCTGCTGTAATATATAGACTGCGTGTGAAGTATATGCTCTTGGTAATGTAGGCAGATGAAGAATTTTGTGATTGTTCTGTGTCCTATAATTTCATGAAGCAGAATGTATTATATAATTTTAATTGAGCATATAGTACTGCACTATGATGATCTACAACAATAACTAATGAAAACAGTACTATCACAATGTGAATTTTAATACAACTAATTAACTAATATCATTGTCATTTCTGTTTTAAGGAAAAGTTAGTCACTGACTCATGATAGATCGATGTAAATAGTTTTTAATTAATTCAAGTTTCTAGCCTACTTTCCTCATTTTGAAAAAATAAAAGGAGGCCTTATGAGATCACCTTACTGTCTATGTGTCTATGTATCTGTGTGTCCCCCTATCAATTTTTGAATACCTGAACAAGTCTTACTTCAACTTGGTATGAATATCATGGCATGTGAGCCCATCTCAACAGCATACTTCATAAATCCCTACCATCAGTCTGTGTGTCTGTATATGTATCTCCCTTATAGTTGCTAGACAGCAGATCAGTAGACACTTTTCTTGTGGCAATGAATTCACACAAGAATAGGATAAATGTTGGAAGCGTTATTTTCCGTGTGGTCCTTATCATATCGAAGGAGAATCTTTGAATCTGTCTGTGTATCCCCTTTGGTTGCTAGGCAATGGCTCAGTAAACACATTCCCACAAGTCTGTGGCCTGTAGTCTGCAAGTGAACTATACTGACCAAGGGACTGCCACTTGTCACGTAGTTAGTGCCAACTTTATCGGATAGAAGGTGTCACATTGTCAGCACAGCAGATCCCCACGGCCCTCATTTTTGGTACAGTGCATGTTGTATCAAAGGAAAGTAGGCAATTAGTGTTGTATTTTAGCATCCTGTTGCATTGATTTTCATCCATGATTATACACAGTTGCCATCTTGTAGTGCACTCAATTTCACCTGTTACTTCACGACGTGTTTCGGCAACATAGTGCCATCACCAGGTGCCCTAATTACATTAATCTATTTCATTGCTTGCCTTTAAAAAATTATTAAAAGTATTTAAAAAGTGCGTATATATCAACTATAATAAATTTACACACACTAAAACTTGTTAAGATTATTCATCTTATGTGTCATAAATAAAACTTGTGTGTGGTTCTTCCACTAAGGGAGTCGTTTTTCTTATATTCTGTGTAAACCGTGTCTTGTGATGTGTGTTCCCTTCTTAGCTGCGAGTGTTGTAATACTTTTTAAATAATTTTATAAAGGCAAGCAATGAAATAGATTAGCGTAATTAGGGCACCTGATGATGGCACTGTGTTGCCGAAACATGTCGTGAAGTAACAGGCGCAATTGAGTGCACTACAAGACGGCAACTGTATACATATCGTAGGCAATTAGTTCTTAACAGAACTTCTTGTCCCTTTAAATGTTTAGCATGTCCACATTTTGGCTGCATCAACAAACAGGCATTTAAATGAAAGACAGTAATTTAATTTTTCCTTTAATTATATTCATGAGTAGACTGAGCCTAATGATGATCATTTAGGCCACTGCCTGCCACTTGTATGTTTATTATTATTCTGATTATGCAGTTTTACCAATTAGTCACATCATAACTGTTCTGTTTTGTGTGTACTGAAACTGTCTGAATAATATTACTGGGCACTGGTCTTGATATTTGTTGTGTTGTGACGGTTGTAATAAAGAGGTTGAATAATATTATGGTTCCCATTTTCAGAAGTTTTCTGTGCCACCTTGTTGGTATTACATGGTAGTAAATAGAAAACTACAGAGGTGGGGGCACCTCTGGTGGTGTGATATTCATACCAAGTTTCATGAAAATCTCATTTTGTTCCATGGAACAAACACACAGACATGATGATGCCATAAGCGTACCTTTCATTATAAAGTAAGGAAGTAGGCTAGAAAGCAAATATTGAAAAGTATTTACTCTCTTTATTTAATTCTCAGAAAATACATTTTAAAGGTGCCGCTGTGGTGTAGTGGTCAGAGATACTGGCTACAAATCCAGAGGCCCCACGTTCCATTCCTGGCACTATCAGATTTTCTGAGAAGTAGCGGGTCTGGAATGGGGTCCACTCAACCTCTTGAGCATAATAGAGGAGCTATTTCAAGGAAATAGCAGCTCCGGTCTAGAAAACTGAAATTAATGAATTTGGGGATCTGTTGCGCTGACCACGTGACACCCTCTATTTGCAAAAGTTGGCTCTAACTTCGCCAACAAGCGGCGGTTGCTCGGTCGGTATAGTTCACTTACAGACTGCAGGCCACAGAGTTTGTTTGTTTTGTTATTATATTTGCTTGCCAGTATACTATTACGTATAAGAAAAATTGGGATAACTTAATGCTTACCTCCTGTTCTTTTACTTACTTACTCATGGAGCTAAGGCCTTCTGGAGGAGCCACCAATTCTGCAGCTACTCAAGAATTTCCCAGCATTTTATGGAACCCGAAGGTTCATTACCGTGTACACAAGAGCCTTTCACTGGTCCCTATCCTGAGCCAGATCTATCCAGTCCATACCATCCCATCCTGTCTCTCTAAGATCCACTCTAGTATTGTCCACCCACCTACGCCTTGGTCTTCCCTGTGGTCTCTTTCCTTCTGGCTTTCCCACCAATATCCTATACTCATTCCTCTTCTCCCCCATTCGTGCTACATGACCTGCCCACCTCATCCTTACCTCCTGTTGTCTTACTTCTCATATCTTTCGTTAAGAATAAGAAATGTTTTTTGTGTGCAGAAGATAAATCCAGCTCTGAGCATCTACACATGGAGAAACAAACAGTGCCTCCAATTCCTTCATACACACCAGAAAATAAAGCTCCAGACTCCGCTGAAGACGTCAAACAATTTAAAAAAACACAAGACCATGTTGAAAGACTTCTGTCAGACATGGGCGATGCTGTTGATGTTATACGTGCATCCACACAAAATGACAATCAGCTTCAAGAAGCCAAAGAAACATCTTACAGTAAAAGCGAACAGTATAATAAAACTGTACCAACTATCAGCATATTTGACAGGACGTCTGAAGATTTCCCAGTTGAATTAAATTCAAATGTACTGGAAGGGAATGTGAGTATGTCAGAAGGTAAAGTAAAGAGTGATAAAGTGATGGAACCTGAACTCATCAAGGGTCAGGAGAACAAGCCCGTGATTCCAGCAGCAGGGACAGATGATTTTCTGGAATATCGAGCAGATGACAGCGATAGGGTATATGCTGTGAGGAACTATGAAGAAGGAGCACGTGATAATGATGAAGACAGAGATCCAGAGAAGTTATATGATGGGAGTTCAGTGCAGCATAATTTTTCTGATCAAGCAGTGGCAGCTGACTCTGGAGAAATAACAGTGGAATCTGAGATACGAGCACAATCAGGGGATCATACAACTGAAGAGGTAAGTGTAAAATAATTTTATTTTTTTCTTGGCAGCATTCTATCATCTGGAACCAGGATAGCTCAGTTGGTTTAGAGATGGGCTACGTGTTGAATGTCCAAGAAATTGGGGCACAATTCCCAGGAAGGGCAAGAGAATTTTCTCCTTTCCACAGCATCCATACAAATTCTGAGACCCATCCAGCCCCATATACAGTGGGTACTAGGGGCTCTTTCCCTGAGGATAAAGTGGCTGGGGCATGAAGCTGACCACACTCCCCCATCTAGTACTAAAGTCAAGAACCGTAGACCTATGCTTCAAATCCATACATCTTCATGGCATTGTGCTTGATTAATTAAGCGCAGGGACACCTTTACCTTTTTTACCTTTATAGTCTATCATCCATTAATCTTAACAGAATTCTGTGATTATTGAGGTGTCTTATAAGCACTGAGTATCTTTGTAATGATGGTTGGATTGTATGTTCACATGCATGCATATTGTAATAATCATTAAAATAAACTTTATAGGAAATGACAGATACGCAGTCTGGGTTCCCAGAATTGATGAGGCACTTCCTGTTGATGGCAGCAGCACCAGCAAAACCTCGGTTTGATCCTCAGTCATTACTAGAAAGAATACGTTCTGAAGCTAAATATAAGAACAATGCAACATGGGAACAGGACTACCAGCTACTGTCTTGTGCTGCTCAGCCATTTCTGCAACGACTGTCAATGTCTGGGGAAATTTTTGATTCATCTTAATATCAGCTGTAGGGAGAATACCAGCAAATGTATTAACTTAAATCAAATATTGATGAAAAATAAATGTTACAGTGGAATCCTGGATGTAACAGTGTGTCTATTTGGATTATGACGGATGTGGCATGGACATATATCATGTTTGCCAGTATACGTACGTCTGTTATGGAAGTTACATAATACTTAGAAAGCTTGTGTGTGTTCCTATACGGACTTTTCTATGCATTTTGTTTAAACACATTTTAAGCAGCCTAACTAGATTCATGGGTGCCCCAAACTATATGAGAATATTACCTCCTACCTGAATCATAGGCTTTCTTGAAGTCTATGAATAGCTGATGTGCTGCCTCATCATACTCCCTTTTTCTCCCCAGTATCTGATGACAGCAAAAGATTGATCAGTAGTTGATCTGTTGCATCAAACCCACACTGATGATCCCTAATATTTTCATCTATACATCTGGACTTAAACTTGTGAGAAGAATATTGGATAAAATTTTGTATGAAGTTGATGGCAGCGATATCCCACAATAATTACTACAGTTAGTTTATCACCCTTCTTGTGAACTTGTAGAATAATAGACTCCTTCCACTGATCAGGCAATTTTTCCATATTCAAAATATAATTAATTATCTAATAGATCTAAGAACACAATATTTCATCTTCTGCTTGAATGACTTCTGCCAGAATTTGAGAACTATCTGGAAATTTATATCTTTTTAACTTTGCAGTAGCAGTTTCAACCTCAAAAGGGCTAGGATCAGGTACTAACAGCTCAGCTGTGTGTATTTCTTCCTGACATCATTGACCCTATGTATGTGTACATTAAATAACTGAGAAAAGTAGTTCTTCCACCTATTCAAAATGTGGGAACCTGCAAGCAGATCACAATTCTCATCCTTCAGTAAGATACTTCTAGCTTGGTGAGCCCTCTTAAATTCATTTATTCTATACAGGTCTAGTGTTCTTGAGCTTACTGTTCACTGCAAACTCCTCAGTTTTGTCTTTCAGATGTTCCCTCTTTTTATTTCTGAAATGCCTGCTGGCTTCATGTCTTATGTTCTTCAAATTATCCCCATGTATTTTGCTTGGATTGTATAACCATTGCAGTTTTACTTGTTTCCTCTGATATAATAATTTTGAACATCCTTCGTTGAACTATGGCGTATGCTTCCTCATTTCTTCATAACCTAGACTGTTTGGCTGAAATGTTGATATTATCTCTAATAGTTTCCAAAACTCTATTGATGTCAAAGCTGTGAGGTTTTGACATGATACTGCTCTTTACCCTCTACCTTGTTTAATTCCCTGAGATAGAACCTCTACATATGAGCTCTGAGCATTGTTTAGTTACTCACTGCATTTCCTGAAATGTTGTCATGACTAGGTAATGGTGAGTTTCACTATCTGCTGCCCTGAACAATAAGACTTTGAGTGTACTGAATGCCATCTACTATCTATAAAAATATGGTCAAAGATAGCGAACAGTAAGGTAAATGCAGTTACTTGAGCTTTTTTTTAATATATTACGAAATAAAACTAGCAAGTAATAATTATGAGTTTGCTACAGGTATCATCACAAGATATGAAATGTGGTGGGAATAGATTAATGTGTTGATATTCCATTGGCGATGGAAATCCTTTTGTTACCAGCAGCTTCCCTAAATACATGTATTCCATGTATGTAATAGTTCACAGTGTCCAATGCATTTCAGTAGGGAGGTGTTTGATTGATGTAAATGTTATGACTTTACAGACACTGTTCAGAAACTTTCTCCCCATAAATAGTTTTGCAACCGTGACCACCTCTGCTGCAGAGGCCCTTACTCCATTGTTATTTTTAACCAAGTTTAATATCACTTCACTCATCCTTTCCAAAGGATTTTGATTCCAGCACCAAAAAAAGACAACGGGCAAAAGAACTCTGCAGCAAAAGAGATCTGGTTGCAAAATTATTGCTATTCTTGTGAACTATTGTTTCCGAAGTGAGCGGGAAGGGCAGGACGCATAGGATGGTGGTATAATAGCATACCGTCTTATAAGTATTTAGTGTACGTTTGCGTAGAGATGGCAGCAATAGAGCACTCGTGACGTCACGGCGGCCAAGTTGCCAATCATGAACGAAGAGTTTCATGGGCACACGACGTTGGTACCGTTGGTAAGGTTGGTACCGATGGTACCGATGAACTGAACGCCGATGAAAGGGTAGGAAGGAAAGTTACATGTGGAAGGAATGTGTATTTGAAGTACTAGCTTAGAGTTATTTTCGGTAAGTTGATAAATGTAAAAAACTGCTAAATTCTGCTAGATTGGAATGGTTGTCTAAGTTATAAATGTTGGATACCTGTGAGGAATGTCAAACGTTTTATTTCGTGTAATTTCGAAAGTGAGGATATTTTGTAAAGGGTGCCATGTTGGAGGTTTTCGGAATGTGCAGGTTTATAAATATTTCAAATATTTAAAAAAAATGTGAGATATCAGCAATCGTGGAATAGCCTTGGGATACACAGTGATATGATGCACCACTTAACTTAAACTAAAACGCTTGATGTAACCAAGCTGTGCCGGAATGCTCAGTGAGGCGATGTTTCTATTGAACATAAGGGTACTCGTAGGGACCCAGGTCTCAGGTGCAGACCGACATTACCTGCTCTTTTACGTGGAGAATGTAGCTCTAGATCATGGCAACAGATAATTGGCATGTAAGATGGGATGTGTTGTAGGATACAGAATACTTGTTATTTCAATGTATTGCAACGTTGGGACTGCTTGTTGAGTACAGGAAATTGGTAGATATAGGCACCGAAACGGACTGACGACCAATCTGCTTATCGGAGGCAGCTTTGAGGAAAGTAGAATGTATGCATAGTGAGGAGGATGTCCCTATTATTACTAGCCATTTGCTCATCTTTAATGAGTTCCTGTGAAATCTTTAATGATGCGCACAATGTGTGTTTCAGTGGATGCAGGAGGGAGGAGTGGACTAGATTCTAAGTACGTGGTATACACCTGGTGTTCAAGAGAATCCACGTCTTTCGAGACAACATTATGGTTCTGAATATGTGAGTACCTTTTATACACTGGCACCATGATCTGTAGGTAGGAATGAAATAACTGCTCATAATGTACATGACTGGAGACTGAATGTGGAACATTATTTAAAAAGACAAAAAAAAAATGTATGGTCAAAAGCATGTGTTCGTCTCTCAGGAGACCAGGGCAGTGTGTGGAAGAGTAGTAATTTAACTCATGGTTATGCGCAGTTCCCCAAAACTCCAGTGTAACTTAACAGTTATAAATCAGGCCAGTCTTCAGTAATACTAAGCACTTTAAAGTATAGAGTTTTGAAAGTTTTAGGTCCTTGGGAATTTTGAAGTGTTGGATGTGTGCAAAATCTTTAATAATGTCACGTGTTGGGTGTATAACGTGACAAATAACTTCACGCCGTATTGGATATAGCAAATTTTATTCCTCACTTGCTCTTACAATCACACCATTTACAATCTCACAATTACTGCCATTGGCAGTATCACAAATACTAGACTGCAATTAACTGGTTACTCTTTCTCTAGTAACTGTCTCAATCGTCACTTTCTAATCACTCACTACTGACTGACCTACTGACTGACTGACTGACTGAATACTCTTGAATAGTCTTCGCTGCTCCTTATTTAGCCTTGTTACGGACAACACAGAAAACAGTTACGTAATAGACACCACTGTTGCGTAACATCGTATTTGCTGATAGCCTAGCAATGCTGTCAGGTGTTGTTTACTGCTGCATAGCAACCGTGGCATCCCGTGTTACATCACCGTGGCAATGGTTGCCTGGCGCCGCCGCTCCTCTGCCACGTCACTGCGGGGAAGGGGGTGTCTACCGAGCATTGCACACTGATGGACGGAGTGGGGATATGTGACGTCACTCGCGAGATCAGAGAGTTCATGTGACCCCCACCTCCCACTGCACCATCCACGTCACAATAATTTGAAGGTTTTCGACAGCATGAGCCTGCTGTGTGGTGGTCATTGATGTTATACCCCAGTTGTTACAGGCTCAGGTATCTGAACCAGGCCCTTCCCTGCCCAAATGCATGGTGAAGCGATTCATGAACCGAATATGACAAGTTTTGTGTCTCCACCATACTGTATTAGGTTATTGTAGCACAATAAATAAGAATAATGTTGGTGTGGGCTTCTGTGGCATAGCATTAATACCATTTAAACCAGTTTCCCTTGAATCAACTGGTACTATGAAATTGTAGTATTATTAGTTGTGCCCTGTTAGTGAAACATGTAGGGTGTACAGTTGTGTTTCTTGTGTTGTTGCCTGTTTTGCGGGGCACTGACAGAAGTAGGGTGTAAAGATCAGCTGGATTTCTTTAGACTTGATTTAGTTTGATGCTGGGTATGTAGATTATTCTAGTGAGAGGAAGAAAATAAGTATTCAGTGGCAGGTTGAGATGCGAGGTTAACAGAAGTATGTTGGACAGATTTATTAATTTATTTATTTATTTCGCCCCTAGAGATCATTGTTACATGATATAGGACAAGTCAGTTACTGTACATTGGCGGATTACAATAAGAGAGTAAAGTTACAATAGTTACAATTCTTTACAATAGTTAGAGTTCTTGATTATTTTCCAGAATTATGTTAATGTTTATGAAGTGTTATTTGTTTAAGATGTGAAGCATGTCATTGAGTGTCTTATCATCCCACAGCTGTGCAGAAGTAATGATGATATTTGGGTGTCAGATATTAGTATCGTCCCTTAACATTGCTGGAAATGCACTCATAACATTGCCTAGTATTTCCATTCTCTTCTACTAGTGTGAAGATTATATTGCTTTTAAAGAAACAAGATCTGTGAATGCAGACGTCCTCAGTTTGTTATTTGTATTAGAGACACGAGAAGTGCATGTGGTCATCCTAAACCTTAGCAAAGCCATTAAGTGACTGATTGAACATTAAGAAGCAGTGCTCTGGAAGCAAAATATGACGGTTGAAAATCACTGTTGTCACGGAGATGTCCATTGGATATGTTGTGTAGCCAGTTGAATCCACCTGTGATCCAAAATTCAGCTTCTTGATACTTCTCTTTTGATGCTATTCTGCCATGAGGTGTTCTATCTTACAAGGATCCACTTTCCAGAAAATTTGATGTGAATGTCATGTGCCCTGTCATCCTTCCTACCTGCGAGGCTACAGAAGTGTCTTAGAGATTGCCATGTCAGAAATTCGATGTAACATGTGGTAGGGTAGTTGGTTTAGACCCTATGGTATAAGCTGGAAGGTCAGGTGTTTGAGTTCTGATGAGGTGGATTTTTTTTCCTTCAATTTACCTAATCCTTCCAGCCACACTATGACCCTTGGCTTCAAATCAGCCTGTAAGAGAAATGAGTACTAAGAATCTTCCTGCAGGGTAAACGGCAGCCAGCATGTAAGAGTGACAGCCTTAACACCATCTTTGAGCTGATTGTATAGAAAATGGGAGAGCCTCAATGTCTCACAACCCTGTGGCCTTCTATGGCCAGATACAAGGACAGTTTTTTGTTACCTTTTTATGTTTATTGTTAGTTCAGTGTCCTGACTTGCTAAGATTTGATCCTTCTTAGGTTTAAATATCTTCCTGATAATTTTGTTTGACTTGTGATGAGAACATAATATCTGACACCATGGAGCTTGGTATAGGAATATTACTGTCTTTCAACCAAGTGAGAATGGTTTCTGTTATAGAGAATGGTGGTTTCATACTGTTAGCTTCGGGTGTTCGAGTTACACTGCATGTAATTCTTTTAATCGAAGCAGCTGTAAGGACCCTAGTAGAGAATTTGAAGTAGTAGTGTTAGACAGACCACCAGAAAGTTCTTCGCCAGAATGCTGAGTGCAAGTTATTAGGCCTTCTATGTTGCTGCCACAGTTTCAAAGCAAAGTCCATGTGATCACTTTGTTATATGCTACAAAATGGGTCAGTATCTTGAAACAAGGTACATCTTTGAAAACTGTTAGATGGCCCTGTGTGTTGTATTGTTTCAAATTTTGCCATATTGTGGATGACTTCTGGAGGTGAGAAAGGGAATTGAGGTTCAGCTAGTGGCTAAGAAGTGTCTGAAGGTAAGATTTGTTTTTGTTAGAAAATGTACTGTGGGCTGTTATTGAAAACTGTGTCACAGTTATACCTACCTTCACAGTACATGCAACTGGATTTGCAACAGTGTTTCCAGTGGTCTAACTGCTTGTATGATGATTTCATAATTTGTGCAAGATAATGATTTTGCAGTCAATGTTTCAAGGAACGTATAGCTCTTGTTGCACAGTTCATTCATCCACAGTAGCCCTGAGCTTGTGAAGGAAGTACTTGTTGAGCGCACACAGCTGTGAGATATGTCTGTTATCAATGAACTAGCCACACGTGTAGTGGGTCATAGTGAAATGTGTCAATAATGAGACACATGAGTGTGTTTAGACTGGAAGTAGTTTTGCCAGTCAGGACTGCATATAGTGTATGAGCATGAGTAAGACATACTTTTGTGATCACATATTGGGAACTGAAGTGCATGCCCGTGATGACAGCAGGGTACTTTTTGAGACTAAATCCAGAAGTATGGAATTTTACTAAATATATATATATATTCTTAGTCAAATTCCATATATATATGGGGGCACATAGTAGTGTAGTTGGTTGAGGCACTATGCTACAAGCCTGAAGGTTGTGGGTGCAAGTCCTGATGAGGTCATTGGATTTTTTCAATTGACCTAATCCATTCAGCCGCACTATGGCCCTGGGGTCAACTCAGCCTCTAACAGAAATGAGTACCAGGAATTAATTGAATAATTTTCCTGGGGAGTAAAGCGCGGCCGGAGCATAAGGCTGACAACCTTACCACCATCTTTGAGCCGTTTGTCTAGATAATGTGGGACCCTCAACATCTCACAACCCTATGGGCCTTCACGGCCTGTTACAGGGATAGCTTTACTTTTACTATATTTTACTTTAATGTAACAGCTATGTAAATGAAAATAGACATATAAGTACCTGCCAGTCTTAGAGACTTTTTGTTTCATGATTATATAATGACACATGGTTGAGAGATTGAATTTTATAAAGAGAGCAACAGTTATAAAATCAAATGCAGCAATAACAAATTTTAATGCCCCACTGTGGGAGAGATAAGCTCATGGTAACTGGTTAAAAGATCTATGTATGGCTTGTCTTGTATTCAGTAGGCAGATAGTAACCAGCACTGTTGCTGCACTACCATATTCAGTTATGTAAGGCTCCATATAATTGTTAGTGTGTTAATAATCCTATATAGACATCAGTGATGAAACTCTTACTCCAAATAATGAAGTTTTATGAAATTTGGATAGGAACTGAACACCCAGAATGTCTCCCCCCTCCTGCTAACCTGTATCGAACTCATGAGTAAAGATATGTGTCACGTCAGACTGTAAGTATAGGTTAGGCTTTATTTGGAAATTCAAAATCAGAACCAACCTGAATTTGCATACTGATTACATAATATATCTGCAAGAAAGAAATTTTTAAGGTGTTTATTCATTCCCTGAACACAATGTAGCGACTGGATTCTAATTTTATTACTCGTATTGTGTAAGGGGTTATATTGTTACTATTAATTGTTAACAGTCCTGGAGAAATATCAGGAAGGAAACTGTTGTGCCCAGTGATGAATGGTGTTAAGTTTCTGAGTGAGCAAAGGCCCATAATGTTAGCCTCTCCATCTACCCCTTCAGCTATGTATCTTCTGTCAAAAGCCTTTCTTTGAAAGTTAAGGATTACATTGGAGACTTGTCATCATTATAGATGGAGTGTCATAGTTAAAAATTTCTAGGGGAAATATAAGTTCTTGGTACAAGACATTTGAGCCAGGGGCTTGATGATGTGCCCCGCTTAGGCGATTGGTTATCATTATTTTAGTAAACGATAAAAATAAAAAGAGTAGCGTAATTTAATGTCTTTGGTTATCATTATTTTAGTAAATGGTAAAAACAAAAAAGGTAGCATAGTTTAATGTCTTATAAGAGTTGCAGAGAAATAATTGATATAAAATAAACTATTTTTCAAAAGACAAGTCAAATTATTGGGAGCCCTAGGCACAAAGATCAGAGGAGGATATCTGCAGAACTGAGAAAGAAGACCCTGCACTTGGAAGTCAGACAAGAAAACGGACAGGTCACCAATGTATCTTGGATTGCAGACAGAGAGGTCATCACCAATTTCCTACTCTGTCATGGGCAGGGAATGTATCTGAGCAGGACAAAGGGGGTAGGTCAAGTCCTGAGGTTAAGAATAGGGCCTCGGGGGTAGAAAGGCCAGAGTAGGGGACTTAGTGTGAATTCAGCAGGGCTAAACTAGGTTTATTGTAAATGTGAGTATTATTTTGGAGGGAAAAAAACGCCCATTGTTGTGGGTATTGTCAAACTGGTTTCAGAAACTGGATCTGTATCTGTGGGCCCAGTGAACAAGACTGGCTCTATGTATTGGGGTGAACTGAGCAGGAATCATTCCTCCCTTACACATCATGACAGAAACAGATGCAGTTTCCCAATCATATTCCCACCACACGTCACTGATGAGGAATCCTCAAGTTTCAGACCAAGGAAGGGGGCATGTAGGAAGTTCCTTTTCCCCACTGCACAAGAACTCAAATTTATTTTTTAATGGCCTGTCATCTTAAGTGATAATTATTGATAATATTGTTTGAAAATGTAAGATCATAAAATTACTGACACTGTCAGCCTACTCCATGAAGCAGAGTTGTTTTTGAGAAGCTGATAAATGGTACCGCAACCAGTTAAGAGATTTCCTGCATTTTATGAAATCCAAAGTTCATTACATGTCCACAGTAGCCAACCACTGATCACTGTCCTGAGCTAGATGAATTGATACTACACCCTTCCATCCTCTTTCTGTAAGATCTGTTTTTAGCCTACTTTCCTTATAATAGGAGGCTTATTAGATCACCTTGCTGTTTGTGTAGCCCCCCCAACTTCTGAAAACCAGATAGTGCAGTCAGGAGAGTTGGGTTTGTGTGCTCTGTGACTGACTGCAAAGCATGGCCCTCAGCAGAGTTTTTTTTTTTTCTTCTTATAACTTTGGGTCTAACTGCAGAGAAAATACTGCTTATACCACTTATACACGGTGCCAAATCCTAGAAGACTGCTTTCTTCAAAATACTGCTTGCTACAGTTCCATGTTGTTAGCCTCCTATATGTGAATCCCCACTATTGTTGCTATGCAACGGGTCAGTAGTAAGCATGTTCCATGCCAACAAATGCCTACACAAGGATAGAAGAATTTGTGGACAATGTTTTATCAAAGAGAAGTAGGCGATCAGTTCTTCCCAGAACTTCTTGCACTGTTATAATCATGTCTATGCCTAGGTCTTCCAATTGGTCTCTTTCCTTCAGGTGTTCTCTCTCACCAATGTTACACACCCCACTCATTTCATCTTCATTTGAAGCTCCTTATTATGCAGTTTTTAAACCTTCCCGTCACTTCCTCCCACTTAAGGCCAAATATTATCTGCACCCCATTCTCAAACACTTCCAGCCTATTTTCTTCCCCTAACGTGAGACCAAATTTCAAGTTTCTTTTACCAACACCATTATAATGAAACCCTCATTTAATGTTCTTTGGGGAGTGATGGATCTGAGCACTAAATTGAGGAAAACTAACACTGAAACTTTCAACCTTAGCTGAGGTAAGCCCTTAAATCAAGGGATGGTAAATGGAGGCTCCACTGTATTTGAATTCAGTTTGTGAGAATTAATATCATTGTTGCTTCTTTTCAGATCCCTAGAAAGGCACCAGCGATGAAGGATGTTGTAGATGGTTGCAGGACTTGCTGCCTGGCACTCCCCCCAGTGACCATCATCCATGAGGAGTCCTGTGACTACAGATCAAGAAAGGTGAACCCAGGAAGTCCCTTCTCCTGCTACACAGGAATGCTGAGGAGTTCCTCTAGTTAAGGTGTGTGTCAAATAAGATGATAATTATGGAGTATGGCAATTGAAAATTAGGGAATCATCTTGTATTTGTACCCTCTGTACTTGATATAAGTAGGTGGGACAGCTCAGCCCATCAAGTGACTGGCTCTGAGCTTGATGATGAGCTATGTTCTTGGGCTGAAGTGGCTGGATCATGATGATTGCTGCTGTCTCTAGTATTCTGGCCAGAATATGTGCTTCCTTTATGTCTACATTTTCGTAGGGTCCTTAGAGGTTATTCATTACTTAAAAACTTATTATAGAGAATCTGCAAATCAACATCAATAATAGTATTAGTATAATTTCTTTATTAAAATCGTCACAACACAACTATATCAAGGTTGGTGCCAATTTTGGCTCTGCTACATGTTTCGGCTACCAAAAGCCATCGTCAGGCAAATACATGGCCAACATATATACACCATTGAACTGCAGTACTAGTAACATTGGATACAATAATATTAATTATATTAAAATACTTGGCATAAAAGTACAATAAATTAGACTATATAAAACGAAAGTTATAGTATAAAACAAGATTAAAATTCTTCAAGTGATGCTTTACATCATCGAGTCATTCGTTGGTTTTTGTGATTTTGTTGTGTTCCCACCGACAAATTGGAGTATTCTGTATTTTGTGTATATATAGTAAACTGTTTTGGAGGCTCGTGATGTGGATGTAGTAATACAGGGATTGTCTGGAAAGTAATGCAATTTGTTTTTTTCCGCCTCTCCTCCTGGTCGCAGTGCGTTCGGACCTGTTGGGAAAAGGGGGGGGGGACTCTTAGCTTCACAGTGCTTCCAAGCTCAGTCTGCTCTAAGCTCTGGGAGTGCCAGGATCACTGTTTCTGTGAACCTCCTGTTAGTGCCTGTGTCACGACGCACAATGGAGAAAAGTATCGAACAACATTATGTGATCAAGTTCTGTGCTAAACTGAACTAAAGCCTTGCTGATGCCCACCAAATGATTCAGGAAGCCTATGGGGACTTTGCTCTCTCCTATTCTCAAGTCTCCAGGTGGTTGAAGTTGTTTAAAAATGGCCGGGAAGAAGTTGAGGATGACCCCCGCTCTGGACGGCCATCAACCAGCAAAAGTGACAAAAATGTGCCTCGTGTTCATATGATAGCAGAGACCCTCAGCATTCCGAAAACCAATGTGCACGACATCGTTACCGACAGTTTGCACATGCGGAAAGTGTGTGCCAAGTTGGTCCTCAAATTGTTGACTGACAACCACAAGAACAACCGAGTGACGATTGCCCCAGCCCTCCTACAGTCCTGACCTGGCTCTGGCAGACTTCTTTTTGTTCCTGAGGATCAAGACCACCCTGAAAGGAACCCATTTTGGAACCATTGAAGCGATCCAAACCACAGTGACAAAGGCTCTAAATGAGGTCCCTGTCAACGCCTTCCAGGATGCGTACCGTGCATGGAAAAGTTGCTGGCAAAAGTGTGTGGATGCCCAAGGGGAGTACTTTGAAGAATTTTACCACATATACACAGTGCCATATCCCAGAGACTGCTTTCTTCATAGTCACCACCGTGAAAGCCTCAAATCTTAAATATCTTGAATAATTTTTTTTATGAACTTAATTGCATTACTTTCCAGACAAACCCTGTATTAATGTTAATTATTTAGTCTGTGCCTAATCTTACAAAGTATTGTCCATTCTGTAGGGAATGTAAACAACGATGCAATAAAGAAATTATATATTATAATGCAACAGGATGTATGAAATGAAAAAAATAGTATTAGAATTTGGAGACTGTATGGCACTATGTAATCATTACTTTCCACAGTGCTGGAGTGGAATTGGTGAAGGAAGAGCTGTTCGCAATGGTGGATGTCCTCCATCTATGAGTGAGCAAGTACCATTCATCCCATGAACTGCATTCTGTCATGGAGGAGGTCAAATACTGAAGGTATCCGTCACATCACATACATTTCATTGTCACAGGCGGGGACTCCAACCTAGAGGTTAGTGCAGATATCTGATAAAATCAAGGCAGAAGTCTCCCTGTAAAGGTTGAGCAGCTGTGCAGTAGGAACCGAAAGAGGTCAATGTAGGAATTGGGCTTGTCAGGCAAAGTTCAGGTCACGGGTCTCTGGGATCCTAGGGCTGCTTCCTCACAGATGGAGAACAGAAGGATAAGTGCACATAAACAAGACAAGGTGGGAGCAGTGGGGAGATTTTGCTGAAATCATATCTTGTGATAGTGCAGTCAGATTCGTTGATTTGAAATGGATCTAGTGCGTAAGTGTATTTTCCCTTATATCTGTTCATACAGCAAAATCCTGATTTAATGAATCTCTGTGGAAATGGTTTTCCATATACTAAATCAAGGTTTTCACTAGTGGTTATACAAAATTATATCAAGAAATTAATCAGCTTATAAGATTAATAAAATTATTTTTAGAACAATGATATATAGGAAAAACTTACTCTGCAGCAACAGTTTGTGGCTGAAAGCATGAATATTATTGTTTTGACCGCAAAACACTGAGCTGAAATTCACTGAACATTCGAGAGTAGTACAGAGTCTACTGGGTTTTGACCACAACCAGAAAGAGAACTTGCTAAACACAGCATTTCATTGTATGTGTTAAGTTATACCTCACCCCAGAGAGAGAGAGAGAGACATGGAGGGTACTATCTTCTGGGATATGATGACATGTAGCATGGTAAAAGTGCCTTCCTTTGAAACACTGGTGAACTACAAGACTGCATGGTGTCACATCATAAAAGACAGTCCCAGAAATGATTATCTGTCTTGCCTTGTCTTTGTAGAGATGCTGAGCAGTGATGTCAGGAATAGGGGTCTGGAACATGTTACGGGAGATGGCTGAGGACTTAAATTTGTTGAAGTTATATAATTAAAATAATTATATTCCTTTAATTTATGCATACATTAAAACTATGTATGAATATTGTCTTGCAGGATTCTCCATTTACAAATTTATTTCTTGTTCTGATATTAGTGGAGACAGTTGGATTTGAACCTGAGACCTTGTGGATACTAGGCTGTAGTGCTAACCTCTAGACCACCAGGGCAGCTCAGTAGTAATGTCTGTTAGAACCTTACTTAAGTTGTTTTTCTCTTGTAATAGAGGGAGCCATGTGGAGTTCATGCATTGGCTTGGTTGTCTGCTGTTCTCATCACTACCAACTCTCACATCTGTAGTGATCCTGTTTTCTTCTCTGTGGATTTTATCTTCTTTATCCCATTGTATTCTGCACTGAATACAATGGGATAAAGCAGAAGTAATCCACAGAGAAGAAAACAGGATCACTACAGATGTGACAGAGTTGGTTGCCTGTGATGAGAGCAAGAGAACACTCATCAAGCCCATACAGAGCTCCTGCTGTAACAAGAGAAAAGCAACTTAAGTATGGTTCTAAAAGAAATGACTGTTGAGCTGCCCTGGTGGTCTAGAGGTTAGCACTACAGCCTAGTATTCAGAAGGTCTCAGGTTCAAATCCAACTGTCTCCATTAAAATGTTCAAAAAAAATTTTAGTTCACGTTTTAATATTTTTGTATGTTTTTTGACTGAAAATTAACATTACTTTATTTTTTCTTTGCAGGAGGACTACATGAAGTATCAGAATGCCAGGAAAAGTGGGGCGTTTCGAGATAGTGCGATTCAGGAGCTGCAAGCTTCATCAGCAACATACATCACTATGAACTCAGTCTTTTATTTCCACAACAATATACACTTTATTCCACTGTTGGTAGCTAATCGCTGTATAAGTGTTGCATGCAATAATGTGATTGGCTTTATATAATACAAGATGTTATGGAAATAGAAGTTAAACCTTATTTACAATGTTTTATTCCATATGTTGCTGTTAAAATTTGAAGTCCTTTATGCGCACTATCTCGAAACATACCACTTTTGTTGGGCACTCTGCACATGTCCTCTCCAGCACGTAACCATCCTTATTCGCCATGGTGCTCTCCCCAACCTGCAAACAAACAAAACAAAATTAGAATAAAGTATTTTCACTAGCAACTTATTGCCCCCTCTTGAATGACCTGTGCTAAGTAAAAGTCCCTCAAGTTTGGGGGCAATAAGTTGCTATGAAACAATGGCATCATTAAATACACTGCTGTAATGCAAAAATAAAAACATTACCAATACACATTTTGAGTTTTCATTTACAATCTAGATCATGTCATGCTGACAAATTACTGTTTCTCTACTGCTGATTTTCAAACAGTGAAACATTTCTAGCATTTAATTTACCTACTGACTGCAAAGTCTAGGCCGCGCCATAGCTCAAGTGGCGCTGGGGCGGGTTTTCTCGGAGTACTTTGGTTTCCCACTCCAGTCTTCATTCCACCAAAATCACCTGGAGCAGGCTACAGTAGGCCAATCAGTGGCCACTGGGCCAAGTGGGACTCCACTTGTGAAAATTAAAAGACTGCAAAGTCTAGAGATTTGCAATATTCACAAGATCCTAAGTTTGAAGAATGCCTATACTGAGAGATTTTCCTCTGACTCACTTAAAAGACATCACAACTGGCCTACCATCCAATGGTAATGTATTCTGAGGCTTTTGTGATCTTCAATTCTAGCCTAGGCATTCCCTCCCCCCATCCTTTCTGATTCATACTTCACTATCCTACCACTCATTAGTTTTGTTAGCCTATATTCCTTAAGTACGCTTATGCCATCTCAATGCTGTCTGTGAATCTCTCCCTATTGACTTGAATGCCTGAACCGATCCCTTACAAAGGTTGGCAGCACTGTCTAATGATAGGGTGATGACTGATTAATTGAAAAACATGTGAAAGGAGGTGGTTATAGCTTAATCTGAAGTACCATCCTGGCATTAGCCTACGTGGACTGAAAGACGGTCTGTATTTGAACAAAGCACTGAATACAAGTCCAGCCCAAGCCAACCTGCTTGGTGACAGTATACTGTCTGAGCTACTGACATGGTTGGGAAAACAATTACCAATTAAAAATCCAATATATACTCTACATACATAAACGCCATTCCTTAAGAAGAAAAAACCAATTTCAGTAAAATTGCTACAGTATAATCAGAGAATATCTGGACACAAATGTTCTGCAATATGATTTGGCAATGTCATTTTGATAGAAAACAATCAAAATGTTTAAAATTCAGATTAATTACATACCATCCTTCTGTAAGGACTCTGCATCCAGGGATCCTAGAGGCCCCACTCCGACATTCTGTTCACTGTCTCTGCAACCAATCTGTGAACAAACCAAACACATGCCTGTAATGTCAGAATGAAAACACTGGTGGGTCAGTGTGCCCCAGTGAGTGCACATAAAGTGAACTATATTTTTCTGATCCCAGACAAAGTCCAATATAAACAAGCATCCAAAATTTTTGTGTGCCTGGCAAAAATTTTAAATATATGTTACTTCAGGAACAAAGCTGTGATGTGCCTGCTTATATTCACCTACTGCACAATAATTCTCATATGCCACTAGCAGTCCTCCCTAATATATGTGACGTTACAATTATACTGACAGAGAGATATTAGATGAATTTGTGACTGCATCACAGTATATCCAAAATCTTTCACCTATCAATTCACTTTGTCTCCTAAAATGACACCCACATAAGGGATGAAGTGAAAATTGTGAGAAGACCCGAGTCCCACGTTTTCCTCTTGCAGCTAGCACACCCCATTTCCCAAACTTTGATAATTTCAACTCATATTTATTGTACTGTAACTTCCAACCTTTCAAAACACAATGTTCATGTTTTCCTTCTGTCATAAATCATTACTACACAACCATTCTATTAAATATGTCATTATTCTATACAATACCAATGAACTGTTTCTTGCATAACCCCATTCAGTGAAAATGCTGATTAAGTGTAAAGAAAAGCCATTCCCCCAGAGACTCATTAAATAAGGATTTCACTGCATTTTCCCCTCCACCCCTCATTTTGTGAGCTTATCTCAATGGTGTTAACCTTCAGTCTTCAATACAACTTTACTGTTAGATTCTAAAGGGTTCTGATGATGGTGTGTAACACTCAGAATTACTGGGTTTTTGGACTTTGGTCCAGAAGCCAGTAATTCTGAGAACTCTACTGTTGCAAAACTAATCACTTCCTTATGTTTCATTAGCCCTACTTACATTGAATGGATTGTCCATTCCATATACAAAAAGCCTAGTCAGTTTTCATCACTATTTTATATACTGAAGACTTTGTCTTATGCTTTGTGAGATCAAAGGCATTCATATTCATAAAGATGAATGTTTAGATTACTATCTTCTGGCCCATAACAAGATTAATCTGGTAAGTAGTTACAATTTCAGAGGAGAGATACTGCCTCTATCTTCAGGGTACATCCTCCACCCAAAGGATGGTGCCCTTGCACTGCAAGACACAAGAGAGACATAGCCACTAACTGTGTGGGAACTAAAAGCAAACAAAGCTACAGGATTAGCCCACTGCACAACATCCCAGTTGTACATCCATCTCGAAGCAGACTGATTTGATTTATTTGTGGCTTATTTAACAATGCTGTCAACAGCAAAGATTCTACTGCCTGCTTATAGGATCCTCCCCCTTAATGTTATGAGGGAGTTTGTGTCTACTGGTCACTTGGAAAGCTATGCTGCTCGGTGCATAAACTCCTGGTAAGGTCAGCCATGTCACACAAGTCAAATAGAAAGGACCAGATGAAAGGGCAGCACATGGTCCTTGAGGTTTGGGGGGGGGGCGTAACAGAAGGCTAGTAACCTCGCCTCGATATATAATCAACATTGTGACTGTGCATCCTTGGACAAATGTTGATACAGTAAAACTTGGTTATAGCAACATCGGTTTCTGCGACACCTTGTGTATTGCGTCAAATATTCAATGGTACGAACTAATTCCTCATAAAGCAACTGTTTTTATACCTTGCTTAGTACGACATGCACAAATGCATCAACCTCGTATGTAACGTCATTTTCATTCCTGAATTTCTCTGATATGGACATTGAACGTAATTTAGAAAGTGTGTATTGGGCAAGTAACAGGAAACAGATGAAGATAACTGATTACTGTACTCGTATCTAGGTACAGTAAGGCACAACAATTGATGTAATCTACTGTAATTTGGTGAGTAGGCCTACCTTTAATATACAGTATTAGTGCGGTGTGTATTGTCAGTGAAAAGCGCTGTAATATGTTTTTGATATTACACATTTGGGCAATTCCATGTTAATGTTACGTTAGTCTGTACTTAACTACGTATTTCACTAAAAAATGCAACATTTTAACTCGGTTTTGGTAGATTTTTACGTGACTAACATAAGGCTACTGTGGAAGTGCCCATTTCGGTTACAACGACATTCGTTTATAACGACACTATTTTTAGGTCCCTTTGATGACGTTATAACCAAGTTCTACTGTATATTATTGACAAAGTTGATACCAGGTATCCAGTTACCCTGGAGATTGACATTCCTGGCAGCTGCATCTTTGCCATAACCTGGTATCTAGGATAAGGTAAAGTCCCTGTGCTTAACTATTTAAGCACTACGACATGAAGGTGTATGGGGGAGTGGATGTATAGATCCACATTTTCTTGACCACGCACTAGTTGGAGATGAGTGGTCAGATTCACGCCCCAGCCACTTTACACCCAGGGAACGAGCCCCTGGTACCCATTAGATAGGAGTGCACTACAAGACGGCCACTGTATACATAATGGATGAAAATCAGTGCAGCAGGACGCTAAAATATAACATTAGATAGGAGGCTGTGTGGACCTGACAGCCAGTCTGGACAACATGGAGAAAAGAAAATTACTGATCCCACTTGGACTCAATATCTGACCCCTCAGTTGTCCAGCCCGTAACCAGTTGCCATACCAACTACACTATCCAGGATAAAGTAGAGTTAAAACCCTATTTAAAGAGTGCACAACTCTAAGTTGGGTAAGGTCAGGGAATTACAAGCTTTGAACTGCATAGGTTCACAAAAGCCCAACAGTGGTCCCTATCCTGGGTCAGATGAATATAATCCACACCCTATCCTTGAAGTTCCATTTAAATATTATCCTCCGATCTCTGTCTAGCTATTTCAAATGGTATCTTCCACTTAGGTTTATATTTCTCATCTGCCCCATATGTCTCACCCACCTCATCCTTCTTTTGACGATGCTAATAATATCTGGTGGAGAACACAAATTATGAAACTCCTCATTACACAATTTCCTCCAACCTTCTGTTACTTCCTCTCTCGTAGGCCTAAATATTCTCCTCAGGTAACAGGGCAGAACACAGAACACACAGGCCTCCACTCAAACATTTGTGACAATGTCAGGAGCAGAGGATCTAAACACTAAACTGCGAAAAACCTCAAATGGGGGCAAATTAACACTGAAACTGTTCAATGGGGGTTCCACTGTGCATATGTGTAAGGGGTCTACAGTCAGATGCAGAGCCCAGCCATAATGGTGGGCTGTATCAAATAAGCTACATACCTTTCATGCTGGGGCCCCTCATAACTGATGCACAGCCGGGGAAGAACACTCGAGTTAAACATCCTGCCTGGCACTTCCTCACTCAGGAAGTGAGGTCACCCATCTCTTGGAACAGGAATTTCTTTTGTCCAAAACTGTCAACAAAGATTTCAAGGTTATATGAACTGTGACAAAATCTTAAACTAGTAATAATAGCAATAATCTGCTATATGCACAAACAAAAAACAAACTCCATGGTTTCAGTGCGCAAGCAAACTAAAACGACTGAGCGACCGCTGCTTGTGGGCAAAGTTAGTGCAAACTTTAGCAGATAGAGGGTGTCGCATGGTCAGCACAACGAATCTCCACGGCCGTTAATCTCAGTTTTCTTGACCGGAGCCACTCTTTCCTTGAAATAGCTCCTCAATTATCCTCATGAGGCTGAGTGGACCCCGTTGCAGACTTACTATTTCTCAGAAAATCTGGTAGCACCAGGAATCGAACCTGGACCTCTGGATCTGTAGCCAGGATCTCTGACCACTAGACCACAGAGGTGGTCTCTGTTATGTGTACAACACAATAATTTAAAATACAGGCCTTTCTTGAAAGTAAATTATTCAAAGTTCAAAATTCAACATAATTTTAATTTCCAACAAACCCATAATCATCACAAGAAAATACCTTTAGTGCAGACATCTTGTTAACTTCATTACTTTAAATTGTAGTCCACCAACAAAAAGCATTTGTAATTGTCTGTGCTATGTATGAAACAACACACAGGCTTAAAAATATAGTGACATTATATTACATGATCTATCTATCTATGGCTCTACATCCCTTGTGGACCTTGGCCACTTTTTCAGTTTCTTGACCTATACACAGTCGGTAGGACTCCTTGAACTGGGGATCAGCCTGCCGCAAGTCCGCTACCTGCACACAGACATCCATGCCTCGAGTGGGATTTGAAACGATGACCCTAGTGTTCAAGCAGGCGAAGACACGTCATGCCTCAGACTGCGCCGCCACTGTGATTGGTATCTTACATGACAAGTATGGAAATTCAAGATGGCCATTTATTTAACTCAAGAATTTGTAAACGCAGGTGCTCTGTTATGCAAAAAAGTAGGTACTGATGATCCAGGATAAACATGCAGAACTTTGTTTGCAGACAGTTTACATTCTGGGCGCTGGACATACTTTCATCTCACAAAGCAATGTATATTAAATGTCATACAGCATCCAGCATAGCACATGCTTCCAGCTACCCTTGAATTTTGCAGGTGACCACATAAATAAACTGGACATTCAAGTTGTAATGGTAATATTCATCCAAAACAATATGTACCTTTAGTACAAAGAACTGTCTTATAGAGTAGACTGAAAAGAAAATGAAATGTGTGATTCATACATGTTCCTTGGTCCAAAATCACTGAGCTTCATTACCACTCACTTTCTCCTTGCTATCAGCCTGTCAGTCAATAGGTAGCAACAATTATGTAATCCTTTAAAATTTTGACCTATAAATCTCCTGCCACTGCTTGCAGTGCTTTTTGTGATGTAGTAGATAACTGACTTCAATTAAAATGTGTCCTCAAGCACACGTGCAAATGAATAAAAAAGATTTAATACTTAAGTTTCCAAACAATATACCACAAAAATGAATGATGAGCATCTGCAAAACAGACATCAGCTACGTATCCCGTAGACAGAGTGCAGGCAAGTTCAACCCTTAGCCACTCCTCACTTCAGCTACATTTGAGAAGTCCTTCATCAGGAACAGCAATTTCTTCATTCATACCAACATACTCCTCATAACAGAGAAATGGCTACGTGTTAGCTCCCTTATGCAACAATGCAAAGAAATCACAAAACAAATTCTGTGGTTTTAGTCTGCAAGCAAACTACACCAACCGAGCAACCGCCAATTCTCAGCAAAGTTAGTGCCAACTTAAAATAAATAAATAAATACATATTAAATATTCACAGTACCAATTTTAGCAGATAGAGGGTGTCGCGTGGTCAGCGCAACGAATCCCCATGGCCGTTAATTTCGGTTTTCTATTCCAGAGCCACTATTTCCTTGAAATAGCTCCTCAATTATCCTCACGAGGCTAAGTGGACCCTGTCACAGACTCACTACTTCTCAGAAAAAACTGGTAGCGCCGGGAATCGAACCCGGACCTCTGGATCTGTAGGCAGGAACTCTGATCAAAAGGCCACAGAGGCGGTCAAATAAATCACAAAAACCTTAATTATATATAGCACTTACAGCTTAAGTATAGGAATATTTTCACATACATGAGAACTGAAAATTAATGTCACCTTGAACGAGGGTACAGTGCATTTCCTATTGCTGTTTCTTGCTGATTTTTAACTATTTAATGTCCCTAGTCATATAAATTCTAATGGAAGATTCTCAATAAATTTGAAAGTAGCAGTCATGGGCTATTTAAAGATAGCCTGGGTTAGCCTAGAGTAGCTGAGTGCAACCAACATTAACCTCAGACTGGCCAGGCTCTCCCCAGGCTGATAACCATACCTGGAATCTCCAAAATATGAAGTATAATGCCGGTCCCTCCTTCAAAAATGTCCCGTTATGTCCTTATTTTTCCAAACTTTACCTTCCATCATGCGTCAATATTTTTACAATTTTTTTTTACATTTTATACAACATTTATCTGAGTCGAGGTAGCGCAGCCGCTATAGCGACTGCCTACAGGCTGGACAACTGAGAGGTCAGAGTTCAAGTCCCGGTAGGGTCAGACCGGCTCTGGAGCCCACCCAGCCTATCCAATGGGTACCTGAGGCTCTTTCCCCGCGGGTAAACCGGCAGGGGCGTGAAGCTGACCACTCAAATCCAGCTAATGCCGAGGTCAAGAAACTGTGGATCTATACATCCACACCCCCATACGCCTTCATGGCATAGAGCTTAATTACTTAGGCACAGAGGCTTTCTATATGACATTCATAATTAAATAAAACAGTTATGTGCATAACCAAAGCAACGTGATCCACAAAACAAATGTCTTCACCATACCGTATAATTCAACAGCAATCTGCTCAGTACCTTGTAGAACAAGAAAACACATATAATAAGCAACAGTATTCTCTAACCTGAGAATCATTATGCTGACAGCTTGTTAAATGTGTTATTGCTATTGTAAACTATAAATATTTCAACATACTTAAATTTTTATACTCACAAATACTTTAAACTCAAACCACCGTCCATTTCTAAAATGTCTACCGGAAGCACAGATTACTTCCTATAGATAAGCAACTGAACGTTAGTGGTCGGCAACGGTGATAGGGGCCTAGATTGTTAAACAATTCGCATAGCGACATCTAAACATGGATGAGAAGATTACGTGTTCGACGTTACACAAAAGTAATTCCAATTATTGACGAAGATGTCGCATAGCCTGCACTACCAGACCCGTGCTTACTTTAACGCCATTGGTGAACGGCTTGTGACGTCATAAAATTTCAGCACTGTCGGAATTTAAACTATATTTCTTGGCGCGCGGTTTGGAGGAATACGATTAGTTATATGAAATTTAGTCAGCTCTATAAATAATTTATAGGTCAACAGTTACAAATGTTATCGATCGTATGCTTTCTTGGTGGTTTGGTGTTCATGTTAATTCCATTCTTCTTTTTTTTGTGAATGTGGCAATGCTGTCTAATTTCGTCTCTAAGGACGGCAGCACCATGTCCCTCTGAAATATCGGCGAACATCGCCCACAGACACGGTGAAACAACCCAGGAATGGAAGTAATAATTACATATATGGAGACCATAAGAAACTTTTGGCTTATATCAAACAAATTTAATGTTGACGTTAATTGTCTATAAGTTCCCCCAAAGTAGAAAATAGTACAAATAACAAATCTGCAACATATTTCCAGTTGCAATCAAAACTACCTAACACACACAGGACGACCAGCATGCCAACTCAAGTCCTATGGTAGCCTTTTGTTGGACCAGATACTTGGCTAAATATGACACTGGCAACATGATATGTATATCAGATTAATCTGCATCTTAAAGTTCATAAACAATAACTTAAATAACAAGCTACATTACCCTCTTAACTGAGATATCACAGTGCACTGAAGAAATGATGAAACTTATCATTAGATTCAGGTTCTAAAAATTGAAGTATCTGAGATCATACCTTCTTCTGTTATTTACTGCTGTGGCACTACCTGGTGGTGTTTTATAAACATCAAACCGTTTCATACATTGAATCACCAATGGTTGCCTAGAGATAAAATAGAAATGGACAGTTTGTTTTATGCATTATACCACATATTGTCTCTTACAAGCATCAGGCAGACAGAAGAATTTTATGTTATGCATAACCTTTTAAGTGTGCGCCACTCAAAGTAGTATCTAACCTCCTGCTATGACCCTGCCATTTATCTGTGATTTACAACACACTGCACATGCCAAGACACCAGACAGACATCATGTGTATATGATATGCACCTTTCTAATGCCATATCTACAGATCAACTGCCCATGTCTTATTTATGACTGGTGTCAAAATTAAATTGTCTGATAGACCTTTTGAATTCCTGTGGTCATTGCTTTCTTCAGCAGACTCGCATACTGGCATATGATTGATGTGTACTGGCAGACTTAACAAAAACCACTCATGTGCCAGCACATAGGATGTTTTGGCCTTTAGGCTCAATCTGATCAGGGGTGCTGGCAAACATGTTCTCAGAAAGTAAAATGTTCTGCCCCTGCTAATGACAAAATGCAACCACTATTTATGTGCTACAGATAGAATATACTTTCCCAACATGTCCATACAATACCTGCATATTATTTATTGATGTGCTTTGGTGGTTAGACAAGACACTGTGGGAAGAACTAATTGCCTACTTTCCCTTCGCGGTATATTGAGTATCTGATACCATACGGACCGCACAGAAAACACTGTGTCCTATGTTCTATTGTTGCAGGTGTATGCCTTGCCTGGGGATCATGTTTACCAAACGCTGCGAAGCAATGCCTGTCTCTTCTGGCTTTCAGCCATTAGAGGGGGACACAAAGACACAGCAATGTGATCTCATAAGCCTCCTTTTATTTTTTTTCAAAACAAGGAAAGTAGACAAATATGTACACGACAGGAAGACTGGGCTAGAATGTAGTACTGTTCAAAAGGAAATATAAACACAATTAAATATAAATATCTATTTAATTAACTACATATAAACCCTATCACCAACAAAATTCCTGTATATAAATAATAATAAATATATGTATATATAAAACCAATCATACAGTTCATTCCTGTAACTATGTATTACAATTTCATATTTAAACATTTTGAAGTTACAACACCAGCTTCTATACTCAGTGCCTTAAATATCTGTATGTTGGTTACTTTGTCATGAATGTAGACAACTGCACTTCAGATGCCTTCACCAGACAGTCTTCCGATGGTACCAATAACAGGCTCTGGTGATAGGAGAACCCTTCCTTACGTTTAATGTACCAACATGTGTTGTCTCCAAATAAGTCTGATAAGTAATATTCTGCTGTAATACAGAATCACTTTTAATTACAGCCACTATCAGCCATCTCTAATCAACATGTATAAAACTGTAAACATATTTTCGTCTTCTAATTCATCACAAGTTTACAAGAATGTGTATAACAGACCCAACTTAACATATTTAACATGTAATGTGCCTATGAAATGCCAGCAAACCAAAGCTATGCTCTAAAATTTTTTCTACAATAATGTGGAAGTGATACATATTTGGTGGCACAAAGAAAGATGATGACAAAAGTAAAAATAAATAACCAAAAAATGACACATGAAAGCAGAATGATAAAACCACAACATGATATGGACAAATCTCATCATTTAAGGCACTGCCAATTTAGGACGGTCACTTAGGCAATATGAACTCTATCATCAGGCTCTTCACAGTAGACCATATGCTCTACTCCCTATTGATCAAAAACTTGTGAACATGACAAATGGCAGACCACCTTCATATTTCAATAGAGATTTCATATTTGTAATGTAACATATAAAACAGGATATCCATACTATCAAATATTGCTCCTATATACTTTTCAGAGTTGCAGTAAAATATGTCAATAAGCTTTCTTCTTCTACAATTCAAACATATATTCTGTTACTACTTTGAGTGGTGAAAATTCTTTCCTTTTTATCTCTCACTACAATAATCTTACAATCTGTCATTCTTTAATATGATTCTTCCTCCTATCTCACTGTATTTAATTTCCTGATATTATTTTCCATGCACTTTTGTTGCCATTGCATATTCCAATTCATATATTTAGTCTTCATAACTAAAGTACCTTACCAATAATTTTTTATATCACTTATCATTTCCTACTCTGCATTAAACTTCTGTTAATATTAATTTGACTCCACATTCAAAATTACATGTGCAAGATAAACTGTGTCTAGAGTTGCTATAAAGTACAACTGTGCAATGTCCACTAACTAGTGAACACTTAACAATTTAGAATCCAAATCCAACTCTGTCTTCAGGATTCTTTTTGGGTGAGGACTTACTACATGTGTGTCTTTAAGAACCATTTATCTAGCTAGATATAATTTATTGGAATGTCTGAAGGAATAACTTACACAATTTTTAATACTATTAAATGTCACATACTGTTTCAGTCAAACATATCAGATAGAGAAAAAAAAATGAAATAAGAAAAACTATGTCATATGCACCATAGTTCAAATGAATATGAGAAGAAAACAAATGTTGGATGATATCAAGGGCTGGCAACACAAATGTAGCACTTAATGAAGTAACTATGACTATTAACAAATAAATTTGCATAAAGAAAATATATTCCCAGAATTACCTTCTTCACATAAGCATAAATGTTCATCTGTACATCTTTTAAGCCCCATGTATTTATTCCTG